CTGGGTGCCAAAGGCTCCATGCGGTGGCTGAGTTTTTCCATGGAGTACTAGAATTCCGGAAGGCTTGCAGAGCGATCCTTGTTGTCCATGTACGCAAGGAACGCCCCGAATTTCTATTGAATGTTCCATTGAACCCCCAATAGCCCTTGAGGTCCTTGGGAATTGATTGGTCCATTGAACCTGAAAAGAACATCCCAGGTTTTGCTACCGCCTGGTCTGGAGATGGAAACCCAAGAGCTGATTGCTGGAATAAACCGCCATACCCTATGTCTTAGAATGAATTTTGGGCCCCCCACGCCCCCTTTCCCAGAATACATTTATTAGGTTTCTCAAGCACGTCGTAAAGATGTGTATCATTTTGGTATGTGACAAACTTGGACCATGTGATGGTGTGTGATCGTTTGTGTGTGTGTGTGTGACAGCCAGTGAAATGTTTTTTGCCAGTTTTTTGCAATGTGTGTTTTTCCGCCAGTGGTGTTTTTCGCCAGTGCCACATCCAGTGCCCCAGCATGCCCCAGCCATTCTCAGCCTTCAGCAGCGCCAAGCAGCTACAAGACTCAGACCTTCCGCAAGGGCAGGGGTGCCGGGGAGCTCAGGCAAGCGGTATCAGAGCATATCGGAGGACTTGTTGAATCATGTTGAAGTATTTTGGGCAACCTGGTGTCTCCTAGTTTATCATGGTGTCATATCTTGTGCTTCCTGATGCGTTTGTTTGACGCGGCAGACCTGGCCATTTCTTGGTTGTTATGGCGCGAAAAAAAGGTCAGTGCACGTCGGTGCTTTCACGTTCTGGCTTGCCGGGGTCAAGCCACGGGCCGCATCGGCTTTGCGATCGCCCCGCGGCGGCTGTCACGAGCTGAGCATGACATTTGAGGGATATCTTTTTTTCTAAGCTCATACGACTTTATACGATATCATGCGACTGCATTTGCCCGCGGTTCTCGTCAAAGTTTCCTGAAATCCAAACAGAGCATCATGGCGGCAGTGTGGGCTTGCGCCGCTCAGACGGCAGTATTCGATATTATACGACTACATGTGTGCGTGGTTCCGAAGTTTTTCGGAATCATAGAGCAGCGCGGGTTAGCGCCACTTGCCCGTAGCTTTCCCGAAGTTTGCTGGAATTTCCTGGGCTGGACACGTGGTTTTCCCGAAGTTTCCTGGAAAAATTCCTGGGCTGGGCATAGGGCATGGGGCATCATAGCGCAGTGTGATGCGGTGATGTGGTTGCGCGCCGCTCATGCGACATCGTAATACATTATACGATTACACTTGCCCGATTTTCACGTTGCTTTCCCAAAGTATCCTGGAATTTCTTTGGTGCTGGACGGGCTGAGTAGGGCTCATACGACATACGACTGCAGTTTTGCTGCATTTGATTTTCTCGTGGTTTTTCTCAAAGCTTCCTGGTCTTTCGGGCTTAGGGCATCATAGGTAGCGCCTCTCATACGACGTCATGACACACTTACCCGGAGTTGTACCGAGGTTTGCTGGAGTTTCCTGGCTAGGCACATGGGGCAGTGTGATGCAGTGATGTGGTCTAGCGCGCTCATACGACATCATATGACTACATTTGCCTATGGTTTTCCAAAGTTTCCTGGAATTTTCTGGGCTGGACATAGGGCATCATAGGGCAGTGTGACTACATTTTCGCAGGGTGCGAAGTTTCCTAAAACATGCGACATCATATATAGGACTACATGTGTCCGTGGTTTTTTCGAAGTTTGCTGGAATTTCCTGGGCTGGACATTGGGCACCATAGGGGCAATGCGGGTGCCGCTCATACGACATTATACACGACTACATTTGCCCTTCGTCCGTGGTTTTCGACGAAGTTTCCTGGAATTTCCTGGGCTGGACATAGGGCATCATGGGACACGACTACATTTTCGTGGTTTTCCCGAAGGAATTCCTTCGGTGGGCACAGGCCATCATAGGGGCAGCTATGGGTGTGTTTTCTCCTCCCATGATCACTCGGGGGTTTGAATGTGTGGTATGGGAGGGGGGGGTCAGATGAGATGGAAGACACGGATGATGACTTCCACTTGGACGACACAACCGATGACTTCCCAGCTAGTGAAAGTATGCTGGGGCTGGCTGGTTGAAGACACGGATTCCGATGACTGCTTTGTCTTTCCTAGTGAGCACGGGATGGAGGGTCCCGCGGTGGGGGAAACCGATCTCCTCAAAGGAAAGGAATGCCTCACCGAGCTCAAAGAAGGCAGCTGAAAACGTTCCGGGAGTTGTCACAAGGAGTTGGTATTACGAGCTGTCCAGGACCAATCATGGCTTGTGGTTGGGTGCTCTGACAACGCCGAGCAGCGTAGTTGGGCTGCTAGCAGAGAGTTGGCCTCAAAAAGCCACTAGAACAAGGCCCTCAAAATCCTGTATTTTCCAGTGGTGCACGGATGGGTGGATTGGGGGGGGGGGGCATGACTTGATGGTTGTTTTCCTGCATTTTCCTGTGGAAGGCACGGGATGGGTGGATATGGAAGAGGCAATAGGATGCATTGGTTGTGTTTCCTGCGGTGGGCATGGGATGGGTGAATAAGATGCATTACCTGTGTTTTTCTGTGGTGGGCACGGGATGGGTGGGTGGGATGGAAGAGGCGCTAAGATGCATTTCCTGTCCTGAGCGTCACCCCGCCAACATGGCATGTTCTGGCATCCGCCGATCGTTCATTTTTCTTATCAATGCGTAGCAGCTTGTGGCCAGCGCGGAGCGCTTGGCCATGTTTGGCCAGTGATGTGAAGTAGTGTTGCTTGGGCTGGATTTGCTGCGCCAGCTTGGGGCATTGGAAGGGAGTCATGCTGAGCTCAAAGGGCTTCATGCAGGGCGCAAGCGCGATAAACATCACAGAAAAGACCTTGGGGATTGTTGGGGCAAAGGCGCGAAGCATGGCTTACATTTGCGCACCATTGCATCATGAGATCATTTGAGTGAGTTGGCATTTTTGCACGCTCTTGTGTATAGGCGCATTCCGCATCCAGCTGACGGCCTTCTCATGCACTTGCCAGTTTTCGCCAGCGCAAGAGTGAGTGACGGCACGGGTATGCATCTGTAGTCATTGACAATCACTTACTTGAGTTTGTCTTTCAGGCGGTTTTGACCGTTTGTAAAGCCTGGAAATGGAGGGGGGGTAATTTTTGCCCTGGCATAGGGTATAAACCGCCAGTCTCCGTTTCGTTTGGGATCCATGTTGCGTCAGATTGCTGGAGTCCGTTTGCGAGTCCAACTCTGGCTCTTTCATGGGGAACATCGGACCGCTCGGAGCACGAGTGGAGTGTGCAGGATTTCCGGCAGTGGCAGGACCAAGCCGCTTGGCCAGGAAACCCTTCTGCGGTGAATCATGGTCAAGACTCCCCAGCACTGGTCTTGTGTGTGTGTTCGAATGTTTCAGTGGTGTTCTTTTTTTTTCTTGTTCTTTTTCTGTTTGTGTGTGTGTCTGTGCGTATTTGTGTGCTGATTGGGATGTGTGCCGAATCCACTCACTCAGTCACAATTAAATAGTTGAGACCGGATATTGAACATCCCATGGTTGCTAGGCTGCAACATGTCAGGTGCATGCCCGACAGTTCTCCAGACTTTCCAGGTCGTGGTCGAACGGCATCGCAAGTGTGGAGCACGCATGAGCACGTCGCTGTTCAACACAAGTATGATCATGCACGAACATGGCGGCATGATATAGCGCGTTATGACCAGGGTATCTTAGCACATTCCTTGTCACAGTGCATTGCACTTTATGTTTAACCCCGCGACAGTACAGATTGATCCCAATCAATATCCCATGACGCTTCCCATCACTTTTTGCAGATTGGCGATTCGGGTTCGGGGCCTGGCTCCTCACAAGTTGGACGGTGTTTGTTGCATGCATAGCAAGTGTTATGTCATATTGGGTGTCCTTTTTCAACACCTGACTCAGGGCGGCAAAGGACTATTGGCAATGGTATATATTTCAGTTAGTTGATGTCATGGTCACGTTAAGTTATGAGTCCCCATGTGTCAAGATAGTTGTGTACCGCATTATGTCTACAACCATATTTCACTTTGTTTGGGTGTTTTGTGTATGCGTGTGTCATGGGATTTGCCATGTAACCATCGTAGTAGAGGCTTCAGGAAACTCGCCAATACCGGGCAATGCCGCCCCTTTGTGCGGCCCGTGTAGCTCATGTCAGGTAACCACCATTGGTGGTTTGCATTGGTGGCTTGGGGTTTGACCCCCTGGTTCTTGTAGAGGGTAAATGGGAAACCATCCCCGGCACCACCGCTCCAAGCCACCAAGAGGAATGCTAGTCATGGAGGTCCTGGAGAGCGTCTGTTGTCCAGACAAGCCCTCAAGGCCTGAAAAGGGTTAAGGGATAGCCCCCCTCCTCAGTTCGTTCTGCGGACGCGATGGGCATTTTTTGGGGATCAATGTCTCGCCTTGAGATCCAGGTCTTCAGTGGCGAAAGCCTCACAGAGCAGGAGGCCCAGTGGTCCGATTCGGGCACTTCCGCCGAGCTCTGCCGCTTTTCCATCCGCGGCTTGGCGAGAGAAGCGCAAGGTTACGCTGCCAAGGGCATTTATGCCATAAACCACTTTAGGGATGGGTTCTGGAGGCATGGAGGTTAACCACTTTAGGGGCACATACTGTCGCTTAGGTTTGGGTAGAGAAGGCTCCTTATCTTGAAAGCTCATCCCCGGAAATGCCCTTGACGGCTCAAATGTGTCACCTGTTGGAGAAAAGGGACGAGGTGTCAGACAGGCTTGGGGCACAATTTGTTCAAGCAACCCAACCCGATTTGGCGGTTAGAGGGACACCAAAGGTTGTCTACACAAACCTTGTTCAAATATGTTTGAGGGGACTGGCCGCTTGGCCTGGCGTCGCAGGAAAAAGCGGCATCTTCCATTGCGACTTCGGCGTTTCGCGAAGCTTGGACGGCTTTTTATGGGCCGGGCAGGCAGTCGTCAACAAAGCATAGGTGTCCGTCCGTGGTGAGTTGGGTTGATCACGGATAGCACAAGCTTCTGTTTAAGTCTAATCATTTGCCGGTGCCATGTTGTTTCTCAAGAGGACGCATGGTCACAAGGTGTTAGAGTTTGTTTGTTTGTGGGTTTGCAACAGGCATTGAGGGCATGATGTCACTAAGGATTCTATTCGTTGCTCAACACGATGCTCATAGCGCTGCATATACTGCACGTCATGTTCGGCCTCCCCGAAATGGAATCCAGGCTGACTGGCGTTTTGCTTCTGTGATCAGCCCACTGTGCCGGAGGACCATCTTGTAGCCAGTTGGCCCAAATCGCAGAATAAGCCGTGAGGTTTGAATTTCCTCCAAAGGCAAACCACTTGATATGGCCCGCTTGTTCAGATTCAATGCCTCAGTGTCCAAAGCGTGGCGTTTGGCGCGGGAAGGTTTGCTCCTTTTCGCAAGGTCGGTCAAAGGGTGTAGTGAGGACTGCAAGAAGGACATGGGCGGGCCTTAAAATAGGGGACCCCCCCAAAATGAGTGGTGTCCTTTTTCGTTTCCCTTGAAAATTCCCTTGAAGGGTACCCTTAAAAGAACACACCCACTTGGAAGTTAGAGCTGCTCCCCATCGGGAAAGCCTGTAAATTATCAAGGCGCATGATTTGCTGCAATATGTGAAGCAAAGTATAGCGAGCTCTAGCGACCTCACCCACCGCGTTGCAAAACCTCGCCTGCGATGCAGGCTCCTGCGGGGTCCATCTTCTCGTTCAGGCTCACGAATTTTGGCATACTCATATAGATGCATGTGTTTGCAGTTCTTTGTTCGGTCTATCGGGAAAGGATATAATACGTGGGAATGAAGCTTGGGACGAAACCTGAGCCCCCGCCCCGCGAACAGGTTTCTGAAAGCTTTTACATTTGGTTCTTGGAAGGGGTTCTGAGCAGGTTTCAGGGCGCTTAAATAGGGGGACCCCCATAAATGCCGGTTTTCCGTTTAGTTTCCTCCAAACCAGCCTCTCCAACAAGGTTACCCTTAAAAACACAACCCGTATACTGTATCATTATATATACATGTAGACTCACTGCCTGAGCTCCTGCTCTTTAAACCTTTTGGGAAGACCATTTTGGTGGTAAACAAAACTTGACTTTTTCGGCCCACCCACTCAGGAAGTGAACTCAGGACGTGAATATATATATATATATGGCTGTGGGTCAAAACCAATGGTACCATTTTGGGCTAGGTGCACCCCCATTTTAGTCTATTTTAGTGGTTGGATTGGGGGGTACGATTTGGATTTTGACCCATGGCCATATCTATCTATATACACTATATACCTATCCTCGATAGGAACTATTCTGAGGGTTAGCAGCACTCAGGACTTCTTGGTGCACACCAGCGAATATTACGGCGTGGGCTCGCCAGTGAACCTGTCCGTTCCAGCCCACGCCCCAGCCGGACCTCCCCATGTTTTCCCTCTGTGGGTTGTTTTTTAGGCCCCACCTGGGACATGGCATCTCTTTTGAAATGAGTTTCTAAACCTTACGCCCAGCGCGAGCCAGAATCAAGATGTGATATCTGCTTGGGGCGCCTGAAAGGCCCAACGCCCCGGATCTTGGAAGTCGATGGATTGGGAGATATTCTTATATCCGGTTTGGGGTTCAAAGGCAATCCTTCATCTTTGGTTTCCCTGGTGTGTCCCAGGGATTCCGAAGCCTATGGCTTTGGGCGCAAAGGTCATCCGCAGCATAAGGATAGAGAGAGAGAGAGAGAGCTTCAAATACTCTTTGAAAGCAAGCCGCAGGCGGGTTGTTGTGCGTTTGATTTTGCATGACACGTTTACTACCCAGAGCTGTGAAATGAAGTACGCCTTGCTCCCTTTGGCTGTACTTGTGGCCTTTGACCTCTCAATGCCCAGCGATTGCACGGTATTGGGATTTTGAGCCAGCGATGCCACGCAGCTCTTTGCATGAGCCTGGAGCCTTCCATCGGGAGTGGGTTGAAGCAGCTTCAACGCAGGGCATTTGGTGGAATGAGTGGTTCCGGGTTGAACAAAATTTGACCTTGGTCAAGAAAACCACCTGTGCAACAACTCCGGTTGCTGAGGTGCTTGTCCAGGCCCAGCCAGCAGGGTGCCGGGGGATCCTCATTCCCTGGTGGGCCTTTCTGCAGTGGGTGCCTCGCTCAAAATTGGGCCCGGCAGGCAACCTTTCCGCACTCCATTTCACCTCACGCAACCTGAGTTCATGGACAAATTCGTCACTTGACCTCACTGTCCGAGTCACTGTTGGGGTTTTGAACCAATTCAGTGGTCAAACAGTTCGGGATTTTTGTTGGGCCATTTCGATCGGAGGTAAGTTTGGGGAAGGTCAGCCGCCCTCGTTTTGGCCTTGTTTTGGCCTGCCAGAATTCAGCTTGCCCTTACCTGTTGGTTTGAATTGGTGGCTTGGGGGTTTTTCGGCCCATTTAGGGGTACCGGGGTCAAATCGTATGCCAATTTTTCGGCAACGGTTCAGCCTGCCCTCGGTAGCCCGTGGGGTCTAGGGCAAAAAAAAATCACCATACTCGCATAAAGCATCTACACAGCATCGTTCAGTGCATTTGTCCTCTGATGTTGAAAACTGGAAGATGCAAGTCCCTTGCCTTTTTCAATTGCACACTGCAGTGGAATGTGTGTTTTGCAACGAGAATCCCGATACTGTTTACTGCCCAGATATCCATCGGGGTCCGAAGCTGATGCACCGTCGCAAACGCGGTGGCCAACCTACGCCGCTACATCCCATGCGACGGGTGTCGGGTAAAAAACGCGAGAGAGCTCTGAGAAGCGCGAGAAGAAAAAAAGAAGCCCCGCAGAGTTGCAGAGAACCCCCCCCTGATACTCAGAAGCAGTCCGCTTCTTGTTATGTGACTGTGGCTCAAAAGTAAACAGGAGGTGTTACGCAGGTTTTGGTCCATGTCTTGGCTGCTGTTGGGTTGGATCTTTAGACTTTAACTTTTTGGGAATAAAGGTTTTTTTCCACTGAACCCCCAAAAAGTTAAACTTTTTGCGGGGGGTCAACAGCAACCAAGATGTTTCCACTTTCCAGGGTTCCATTTTGGTACCGGTTTTTGGAGCCACGGCCATGTTCCCTCAGGACTGGACACGCCGCTACCGCGACAGACTGGAGGAGGCCGCTTCCAAGCCGTGGCCGGAGCGTCGCGAGACGCTCTTCTGGCGTGGCTCTGATACGGGCTGCCTGGCACCCAGCGACTCAGCCCGATTTTTTGGTTTCGCTGAGCAGCCTTTGTTTTATTTCTGCTTGTCTTCGTTTAAGGGCCCCCCTCAAAAAGGTGGGATTCCTTGTGGGTTTGCATTTAAGAACCGCCGCAAAGGAAGACACGCCAATATTTGTGCGTCTCTTCTTTTAAGGGAGTTCATTCTTCTTATTTTGTGTGCCTCTTTTTTTTGTCTGAGCACCCAAAAAGCTGGGGTTTCCTTGGGTTTGGATTCAAGAACCAACCAAAAGGGGGGCCGCAAAGGAAGAGACACCAATTCAATTGTGGCCCCACCCTTCCAACCGACAATAGGACATGAACGATCCCTGTTGTTGTACGAATTGGAATCCCTGCACACTTCCAATCAAGCTGGAGAAACATGACAAAACCTGTCACTGTTTCATGACGTTCTTCGTTTCTTGAACCCGATTGCTCGATTGCAAAACAAGCCAGAAATAGATCAGAAGTCACTCAGCAATATTTGTTTTCCCCTAATGGGGGCTCGTTTTGACTCAGACAAAATGTGCTTGGAATTAATCCGGATTTGTGCTGAATTTAGTTTTTGATCCTTTTTTGTTGGGCTGGCTGGTTTTGCCAATGTCAGTCACATTTGATTTTCCAGATGCAGAAGTTACCGTCAGGGATCTTGCCCTTTGCAATTGGCAGCAGCATTTGCAAGTCCAGGCAATGACAGCACTTCTTCCTGTGGTCTTCGATGCACTGAGTGGACACCAAGTACCTTGGCAGCTCCCAGCTATGCCCATTGAAATGCTTAAACTTTAGAGGGGCGTTTGGCTAAAGGTGGTTTAACATGGTATCAATGAACCAAGGTACATGGCCGCTCTTTCCGCGGTCAAAGCTGGTCTTGGCGTCTTCCCTCTTCCCTGGACGTATTGACGCCTTATTCACCAAAGACACCGTGCACAGGGATTGCCAGGAAGTGTATGCCACCAGCGGCCTGTGGATTGACCAGATCATCGCTCCGGAGGCACATGTTCACCACAAGCATTTTGGCTTCAAGGGTTTTGAAGAGTGATGTTGACCCATACGAAATCAACCCCCAGTTAAGTAATAGGGGGGTGTCCCTGGGTGAAATGTGGGATTATTCACTTTTTCAGGTGAACACCATACGTTCCGCACATAGCCAGGTCGGAATTTGGTACTTGATCAAATCGGCCTTGTCTCAGTCGCCGGCCGTTGCATTTTGCTATGTGGAAATGTGAGCCAGATCCTCAGCAAGAAGAACCTGCAAAAATCCAAACGATTCGCTTTGAGACGCGGGTGGAGGGCCGGACAATCCCAATCCATGATCACTAACGCTGGAAAAAGGACCCCTTTAACCCAGAGGAACTTGAGGATACGTCTCCAAACAGCCATATGGTTGCCGCTTGTGTAGATCATTGCTGTGTCAGAAGTCTCTGTCAGGGCTGTGAGTTTGTCTCCAGAGAAATCGAAATCCCTATTTCATGGGTTGTTTTCTACTGATTTTCCAAATCCGGCAACCCTTAATTGGTGGTTTGGATTAGTTGCTTGGGGATTTAACCTCCTGGTTCTTGTAGAAGGTAAATGGGAAGCCGCCCCCTAACCGCCAAACCACCACCAGAAAAAGGGACGCTGATTCTTGCTTCCTGACTTGTTTTAACTTTACACCTTTTGGGAAGGCCATTTTAGTGGCACATAAAAAGCTCGGACTGTTTTTCAGCCAATCCGCTCGATCGGAAGTGAGGGTTTGCCATCCAGAAGTGCCACCCACGACACATACTGAGGTACTTAGCCTATGCCGACGGCAGCTCCTTCTCGGACCGGCTCTACTGGCTGCTGCTCACGGGGTCTTTGGTCTTCAAGCCCCTCGGCCCGAAGAAGGTCCCCGCGGCCGCCCATGTTGTTTTTGTTTTTCTCATTTTTTTCGGTGGTCAAAAGCCATCCGCAAGACTTTTCACCCCCTAAATTTGCGAAAGGGGTCCAAGCTTTGTGTGGACTGACCAACTCGCCGGTTTTGAGTACGAGGCTAAACACCCGAACCGCAAAATCGTATCGCACCCAATGATCAACTGGGTCAGTTTCCCAAATATATCCCACAAAATGAAAGTTAAAGCTTAAGAGAGTTCCGCCGAAGCCCGAAAAACCGAGTCCGATTAGTCAGGGCGGTGAGTGTTGTGGCAAAAGTGGTCTGAAACCCCACCAAAAGGGCACACCCGAATGAACATCAACCAGGGGTTTATTAATCTGGGGTCAACATAACTGGGTCCGTTTGCTGTCCTTTCTTTGGGTCTTGAGAGCAATCCTGCACTTGCCAATTGGAGTGGCTTCCAGCTGACCATTGACTGAGAAAGCCCCAGCCGGGTTGAGCGGTTGGTTCATTCCCTCATTCCTTGAAAGCAGAAACTGTTTCTCGGGAAACGACTTGAAATGGGGTTCCCAAAAGCAAAGGGGACCCTTTTTTTGGATGTTGAAAGGGAAATCAACAGACCACTAGCTTTTCAAGGTTTCTTCATCAGCCCGGGTCTCAGGGAATTTCATCTCCGGGTTCCCATTTCTCCTTTCAGCACCCCACAGAAATTTCTCCGGGGCTCCCCGCCAGCTTTAGGGGCCTCCGGTGCTCAGTGCACCCACTAGGACAAAGAAACAAAGGCGCGTAAAATGGCATGAGAATCACAGCCTGGAGTTTTTGCCATGACCCTTCAAACAATTGGGTCATGACCCAAAATAATGGGGTCATGGACCCATTTTTAAAGGGGCATGGAGACTCCAGGTAAGTATATGAGTCAACTTCAGAATTATCAAAGACCACTTTATCAACGGCGTTTCATTCAAGACCATTTTTTGCATTTTCCTTGGAGAACGATAGGGGACTCACTAAAAACGATACCCCTCTGAACATGGTTTGTGAACATGATGCATTCATTCACGTCTCAAGTGTCATTCTGCTTGCAAGCAATGTGGAGCATTGAGCGGCGTGAGCGGCTCACATGACTACCGCAAGGCAGAGAAGGCTATTGTGTGCTTGCTTGGCTCTGATAGCTTATAGAAAATGTGAAAGTTTTCCGCAACTTGACACACGCCCAGAACGATACCCGTGTCGATACCCCATCGATACCCCTGCAATGTCCCGCAGTTGCCAATGTGAGGCCTTGTGCATTTGCATACAAAAGACAAGTTCAGCAGACATCCTTCAGCACACACAGAAAGGGCCCGCAATGGGGAAGAGCGCTTCGTGTTCGAAAGACTACGAATGTGGTTACGATGCCAATGCTGTGTTTGCGTAGAAAGTTTGTTGGGCACGTTGCGAATTCGCACGGCGCCACAGCGAGAGCGCTTGGGCACGCAGGATCCCTGCAGAGGGTTCGTCGGGCACTTTTCAACCTCGCACGGCGTCACAGCGAGGGCGCTTTGACACGCGCAATCCTCGCAGAGGGTTCGTTGGGCGCGTTACGAAGTCGCACGGCGCCACAGCGAGAGCGCTTGGGCACGCAGGATCCCTGCAGAGGGTTCGGCGGGCACTTTACGCATTCGCACGGCGCCACAGCGAGAGCGCTTCGAGGCGCGCGATCCCTGCAGAGGGTTCATCGGGCACTGCACGCACGCGCGAAACGTGGAGAACGATAGGGGACTCACTAAAAGTAGAATGAATACACCCCACACAGCAAATATTGACGCTGGCTCATATACATATATAGTTTCGGGAACCCGCAAGAAGAGAGGGGAATGGCAACCACTTCGGTGAGATCGTTGGAATGTTTCCCGACTCTAAGGATGTATATATATATATATATACATACATACATATTTGTTTTCGGGAACTCGCAAAAAGAGACAGAATGGACAAAGAGACAAAGGCGCGTGGGATGGAATGAAAATCACACTCTCTGAGCGCACGTTGTTTCCCTTTTCAGCCAGCAGTGTACCGAGGGCGATGCTCTCAGCACCGCCCTGCGCAGCTGAGCCACTTTGAATTTACTAGGGCAATCCGCAAGTTGGGTTTTGTTTCAGGGTTTCCTCCAACCTCCACGCAAAGGAACGTCAAAACTTTTTTGCTCCCAACCATCCCCTTAGCTTTTTAGCCTTTTAGTGTGTAGTGGTCCACTCAAAGTTAAACTTTTAGCGGGGGATCTGAGGGCAGCCCAGAAAAGCGGCGATCTTTTCAATGGAAAACATCAGTCAGTTGCAACGTATGTGTATGGGCCAGAATTCGATACTAGCCGCATGTTTTAGTCCATGTTCCCATTTAACAGGGTTTCATTTGGGGTACGTACCTATTTTTGACCCATGTGCTTGACTGTTCTTGGCAAGCCGTTCTACTACTGATATGAGTATGATTATTATCATCAGTATCATTATTATCATTATGATTATGACTATTCTTATGCTCATGGCTATGCTTATGATGATTCTGAGTTTGATTATTTTGATAGTCGTATGGCCGCCTATGACGCTTTCGTGAGGCAACCCTGAGGGGTGCCCCGAGCTCGGCATGAGGACCTCCTCTCGACTCCACGTGTGGCTGGATGGCGGCCTGCTGCCCTGGGACCACTACGTGCCCGTGAGGGAGGATCTCGCCGAGCCTCGATATGGTCGGTATGGCCGGTATGGCCCTGGTATGGTGGGCCAAGGCTGCTCAAAATGGAGTTCGGACGCCCCCTGAACCCTTTTTCTGGGTCCAATGGTCCAATTGGAATCTTTCTTGGGGCAAAAGTGCCACTGAACCGCTGATCTACAGGCTGGGCCTGCAGTGGCAATCAATGCTTTGGGGGCGAGTTCTCCAACTTGCAAAGTCATCCAGGCGGAAACCTAAAACCCCTGGCCCTGACCGCCACTGAAGATGGTCATGGTGATAAGGAGAAATCCAGAAAGTCGGACCTGACACTGACCAAATCCGATGCGGTGACATATGTTTACTGGGAGAAGCACCGAGGTTCGGGATTCAGGATGTTGTCACCCACGGTATGACACCAACATGTTGTTCCAAATAGTCCTACATTGCTGAACCCCATGCTGAGCCAACATGGCCATGTTCAGTGGTGACCCACCTCAAAAGCGGGTGGCATACATGAATCGAGACTCACCAAATTCCGAGTTTGGGTTCGGGACCCGTGAACATAATTATTCAGTGCCTGATTTGGCCCACTCCTCTGGGGTGGAACCTACAACATACATCCACCATGTACAGGGTTTAGTTGGGTAAAATTGGTACAATATCACCCAATGCCGACCCTTGGTTAATTATGTGTTGGCCAGTTTTCTCCAATAGGGTGTTTTTACTTTTTACCCGACTTATTTTTGTCTAAGAAACACCTTTTTTTTTGGGGGGGAGGGGGCAAAAACGAAACGATGGTTCCCTTTTGGCTTGCTTTGACAACCAAAGAGGGCTCAGCAGAAGAAAGACACCCACACTTAGGTCTCGTCTTCTTTCACCTTTGGCCCTGCCCAGGATTTGCTGGACCATTTGGACTGGGCCAAGCAGAATGATGAGCAGAGTGCGCGGCGACTCGTTGCAAGAAGTGGCCCGGGGCCAGAGTCCTACAGCCATACATTCACCCAGTCAACAAGCAAGGGGGTGTTTATGGGAAAAGGGATCCCAGTAATCCCCATCCAAGAACCCTAATGATAAGGTGGGGGTTTACGAATCGGGCCGGGGGGGGGGCCGCATTGGGGTGTTTAAGCCGCTTGTGCTACCAAGCGAATCTTTCCCAAGTGACTGGAACAGCCCTCGTCAAAATGACAGAAATTGTTTTTTGCGAATCTGCATCAAACACCTAGCAAACCTTTTTGGGTGCGAGGTCTGGGGGGGAATACCTGTCCTTTTGGCTGTTTGCGTGTAGTTCCTCGTCACAGAGCCCGAAGAATTCGAACTTGGAGCATAGCGGGTCAGAGTGGGAGAGTAATGGCACTTACACAATCCACTCAATCGTGTTGGTTCCATGACGGGACTGCGACAGCTTGTCAAAGAGCAGCTTCCCGCGCCACCACACTTCCAACCACGCCCTCAGTTTCGGTATGTTTGGAGTTAGCACTCTGAAGATTGATTGCCTTCAGAAACAGCATTCGCCCAGCGCCTCAAAGGTGGTTAGTATGAACATGGGGACATGAAAACCCTTTTACTCAGGATGACTCAGCTCCTTGGCTGTGTGTACCTGCTTCAATCACCGGGCCTCTCAGAAACTCCTCACCTTCTTGTAGCCACTGCCCCTGCACATCTCTTTCCAACTGCCTTTGAAAAGGATATCGTAGATATGATTCCTTTGGACCACTCAAATAATTATTCCAGGTAAGGTAGTTAGTAATTATGAACATCTGAATATGAAACCGAAAGCAAAGGTAGTCGGTATGAACATCGGGCTAGCACGCCTTTGGAGTATTCCATCCAGTTCTTCCAGTTTCGCCTCCCATGCAGAACCTAAGGATAGCAGATGAGGCGGGGAAGTTTGCGAGGAGCTCTTTGACTCTGGAGGGAAGCCTGCTGTATTTGTACCAGGTCCTTTCGACTCCCGGCCAGACATCCCCATCTCAGTTGTTCAAAGCTTGACCTTTGGAGCACCTGCTCGCTTCTTGGCAACCATTTTTCGTCATGGCCCCCATAGGTCAAGCTTTCCATCGCGGGTCCTTTGGGCAAGCCATACCTGCCCCCAGGGTGCATAGATTCCTTGCGGCGCTTCTCGGAAGCGCAGACCCTTTGGCTTCCCTGGGCTTGAAGTCTCACCAGCTGGCCTGAAAACAAACACCCCCCGCGCCTTGCCCGCGCCTGTTCGTTGTGTGAGGGGCCGTCACGTAGCTTGTTTTGCAGGCCAAAACCATGGCAAACCGATACAGAGGAGAAAACAACTAAAATGATGTCCTGTTTGCCAAAGTGAGTGAGAGAAGGGTGGAAAAAGAGCTAGGTTCCCGACCGCAGGTTTGAGTCTACTTTTCAAGATTTGCCAGGGTTCCGAATTTTGGGGCGATTCCGAATTTGGGGAGCCAGAAGGCTTGGATTCCTTTTGCTTTTCAGGAGCGACGTCCAACGCTCATGAGTCTGACTTGGGATATGATACTACCGCTGTTCCTGTGCAGGGAAGCGTATCTTTCACCCCATGTGCAAGATTTTGCTCAGCGATCATTTTTTTTGGCCTGCCATGGGGCGTGTTAGTAGGTGGCCCTAGCTGGAGGTTGCCAACGGAATCCTTGGTTGGGTCTTGAAAGGGGCCACTGGACAGTGGCTTCCCAGTACAGCTGGGATTGCGGATCAGGATGTGCCCCTCCATTTCTTTTGAACAAGGCCGTGCCTGCAATGCGTTGCTCGCGATGAAACAGACTCCAGCATGCCTCTGCTCAAAGACTGTTGGGCCGTGAAATGGCCGGCCGGTAGGGTCTTTTGACCGTCGCCTTGAAGGAATCAGGGGACTGAAGATCGCATAAGATCTCGGTTGCTAGTCCACTGTTTCTTGGGAACACTGGCGCAATAGGACTGGGGAAGGCCCCATCCCCGGGGGTGTCGTTGTTTGTTTGGCTGCCACTTCGAGAGTGCTGGATCGCAGATTTATCGTGGGCAATGTGCAGCGAGCTAACCCATTCGGGGGAAACGAGCTCACCTATTTCGTATTCCGTTTTGAGTCACCCCAGTGTTGCCGCCGGATGGTGGCCTTGCCCGTTCCAGAACGTTTTTGCTTCCGGAAGCCAGATTCTCGGAGCCCTGAGACGGGAATGAATCAACGAGCTTTTGGACACATTCAAGTCAGAATCTTGCAAAAGTATATTGGACATGCTTTGATACATGGGTCTGACATGCAACAAATGCTTGGATGGTCCTCTTGGTTCCACTGTGTTCCACTCTAAAAACACAAGAATGTCGTACCCGCAACAATTAGACAGACCCACATCTTATCAAGGGTTTGGTTGTTTATCTACCTGAAGGCTGTTTCTGAGAAGGCAACATGCAAACACAGGGGCGCTGCACAACACCTTTTATACCATCTTGTTATCAAAAGCTCTTGGACACATCATGCTTGAAAGGTGACTCTGTCCGACTCTGAGGAGGCTTGGGCAAGTTATTCGGCTGACCCCCGATGAGCTCGCCGCAGAGATCCCAAGATGCCGCGGAAGATCGCAGGCGACGGATCCGTGCACGCCGCAACCTCACAACTGGACCGTCAAAAGGGGTTTTCGAGGACCAGGACATTTTCTCTTGAGGAGGCTGTGGCTCAAAAATATGAAATTAAACTGGCCCCTAGGTGAAATGGAAACAAAGACCAAAACCTGCGTAACCCTAGCTCTTAAATCTTGAGCCACACCGACCTGTGATCCCTTGAGCACCAGAGCATGGATAGCACCATCAGCTACTAGAAAAGGACCAACAGGGGGAAGCGCAGCTGAAATCCACGAGAAGGGTATCCAAACCTTTTTCTAGATTAAGGCGACAACATCTTCGCATGGATCCCTTGAGTCATCAATATTCGAGAGAAGGATGTTTGACGTTCGAAGGCCCCGGATTTGCCATCTAGTTGGCTGCTGAACCCGGTTTCGTGCGAGTAAGCCTTCGAGCAAGCCACCAGCAAGGGCTACTCTCCTGTCAGTCAGGAGGGAACTCAAGCTGTGATTTGAAGAGCCTCATTTTGGCACCTCCCCTTTTGGTGTTTCGTCTGAAGTTGCAGGGGAGCAGCTGCTTTTTTTGTTGCTTGGGCGGAATGCCCAGATTGGGTCTAAATCTCCAAACCACCTATCCTAATCACCACTTCAGGGTTACTTGATCAAGTGTCGTGGTGTTTTTGATCAAGTCGATCGGGGATGTAGAATAGAATGACATCAAGGTTGAGCTGGTCAATTCTAGCAAACTACGCGACACATGGGCGTGTTTGTGCTTTTTGGGTGGTGGGTAGTCAAGCTTTGCTCATGATATTGGAGTACAAGTAAAGCTGGTCTTGGGTTTCCCACCTGCGTGTCGCGAATTTTGGCCAGGTGGATTCTGTGTGCATCGCTTTCCATATGATCTCTCAGTTCACTGGTGCATCAGCGGGTTGTGTTGCTCCATTTGGTGCCTCTCGATTGAACCATCAGCTCTTGGTTGCATTTTTCTCCGTCTCTTTGAGCATTGCGAGCATGATTTCAATGTTACCGAGCTGCACCATAGTCCTGTGAGTGTGCTTGCTTGCATACTGAGTATTGGCTCGCGGTGACAATGAGGCTTCAGAAAGAATCGACGCAGCTTTGTCATTTGGGCATTGATGTGTGGCTTTGTCATTTAGGCATTGATGTGTGGTGAGCTGTTCATTCTTGGGTTGGCTTCAGAACGGCAGGGGGATGTTAAGCCCTTTTCTTGGTCAAGAGTGGTCCCACGACCTCGTGTTTCTTCGCTTCAGATTTAGCTTCGTGTTGTCAAGCGCCTGCCAGCCCTTCCAGGCCGTTTTGGGACATGTTGAAGGGCCCCATTTGGTGTCGCCTTTCACAAGAGTCCAATTAAATGGCGTTGTCTTGTTTTCACCCTTTTTTGGTTGGTGTCAAAGGGGAACCAAAAGGAAAACCCACCATTTACGGGGGTGCAACGTTAAACACCCCCAGATGGCCTCCCAGCGTCGCGCATACGAATTGCCTCGAAGGCGTCAGAGGAGTTGGACTGCTGGGCTCTGGGGTTCACCCCCGACTTCTGCTGCAATCTGGAGTGGCCCCCTCTGCAATTCGAACGCGCCGGGGGCGTCGCGCGTCGCGTTTTTTTTGTTTTGGGGGGGGGGGGAATTGGGCCGGGTCACCATATCTGTATCCTTTTTGGATGCTTCAACGGAGAAAAAGGGGGAGCCCTGTTTGTCTCTGGTGGAAAGTGGGCGTCCCCCATGTCCATGGGTAGTGGCAAGATGCAGGGTACTGCCTCGTCAGTTGTGTGTTTTGTCGAGCCCAGCTAGCAGACTAGGCTTCCAAGAAATCCGTGATTCCAGTTGTCACGTTTGCTTGTGCAAGGCTGTTGAAGCGTTGATCTCCTTTTTGGGGGGAGGGAGCAAAGTGCGCAGACTGGTCAAACTTTCAACCACCCGGCAGGTGCTGGCACGCTCAAAGTCCGCCAAACAGCAAGCAGCAATGCCCACCCCGACGTCCTGTGAGGCTGGGTCCCAGCGGCAACGCTGCCTGCTGGGCTGGCCCCTACTCCTTCGCGGCCTGCTGCCGAGGCGCGAGGGAGTGGGCCTCAAGGCTGCTGGGGCAGTTCCTTGTTCAACTTTTTTTGGGAGGGGGCTGCTTTCCTCGCCAAAGGCGTGTTTTTCTGAGGAGGATGAGACCAGAAGATCCTTTCCTTCATCACTTTCCTGATGCGTTGTTTGTGATAGTTTGCGATCCCAGAAGCGCCCAGGTCGCTGGAGAACTGGGTTTTTGGTGACTGTTTTTTTTTGGTTGGAGAGGAATGCCACTGCAACCCACCCTTTTCCTACAACCCAGTTTGTGAGGCAACTCTGTTCGAAGCACCTTTTGTACTTGAACCTCATACAAGTGGGTTTGGGAAACCTGAGTTTGACGACCTGCGAGGGTGTCATGCTCGAAACTGTGTGTGTGTGTGTGTGTGTGTGTGTGTGTGTGTGTGTGTGTGTGTGTGTGTGTGTGTGTGTGTGTGTGTGTGTGTGTGTGTGTGTGTGTGTGTGTGTGTGTGTGTGTGTGTGTGTGTGTGTGTGTGTGTGTGTGTGTGTGTGTGTGTGTGTGTGTGTGTGTGTGTGTGTGTGTGTGTGTGTGTGTGTGTGTGTGTGTGTGTGTGTGTGTGTGTGTGTGTGTGTGTGTGTGTGTGTGTGTGTGTGTGTGTGTGTGTGTGTGTGTGTGTGTGTGTGTGTGTGTGTGTGTGTGTGTGTGTGTGTGTGTGTGTGTGTGTGTGTGTGTGTGTGTGTGTGTGTGTGTGTGTGTGTGTGTGTGTGTGTGTGTGTGTGTGTGTGTGTGTGTGTGTTTGGAGTACTTGGGGGCCTGTTTAGCATTGCAGGTGCAAATCGAAAAATCCATCCATGCAGTGGTTGGTACCTAGAAGAATGCACAGGCGGCGGGGTGTACTCCTACCCCTTTCGGTTAGTTGTAGGGATGCGCTAGTCGTGCCCGATGAGAAGGTCTTGAGCTTGAATGTTGGCGACGGAGCATTGGCCTTGTAACCTTCCTTGGAGGAAACCAACACAGAAAGGATGCGGTCATTTGCCCAGACCTATTTCGACTCTGCGGGCGAAGCAGTCATTACGATATTGCTTTTCGGCGCAGCACTAAGATTGCGCTCCCAACATGGAACCTACAAGCCCAACAACAATGCAGGAACCGGTTCCTGTGCAGGTTCCATGCTTGTTGGGAGGGTCTTCCTGCTGGATTCTTCGTCCCGTTCGAAGTTCGAACCTCGCGAGCCGCGCAGAACACCTGGATGCCCTCGACGCGACAACCGGGGAAAAGCAGCGAGGCTTCACGGGTCAACAACTCCCGAGAAACGAGTTGGCCATGGTTCAAAACCAATGGTACCATTTTGGGATAGGTGCGCCACCCATGTTAGTGTATTTTAGTGGGGATTGGGGGTACGGGGTTTTGGCCAGTTGGGCTTGAGAAACTTGGACCTGCCAGGGAAGAGAGCCTCATACATGGCAGCTTTGTTTAGTTTGGAGGACCTACTCCCAGGACACGGTGATCGTCTCAAGGAACTCAATGAGCAAAGCAGCGTCTCTTTCATTCACAGGGTCATCTATTGAAAACTGTATAGGAAGGTAGCCAGAGACCAACCAAAACCACAGGTGTGTTGCGGTTGGTTTCGTAGATTATTGGTCATCCATGTGTGTTTTTTGGGGTTGGGCTGCCCCATGATCATGGTACTGGGGTGGTTGCTGGTGGGGTTGGTTCAGGGTTTGCAGGTTGGCTAGTTTAGAATGAGTTTGGGCTGGGTTTGGAGGAAGCTGAAGGGTGTCGACTCCGAGAAGTGAAAGGACCGGGAATGCGCGGGGGGATGTTGAGCTGAGGTGCTGGGGAAAGCGGCCGGATCGGGCCCAATTTTCTTGCATCGGAATCGTGGGATAGTAGGGGTGTCCCAGCAACTGAGTCACTGCGAAAACACATCTTGTGCTGGCTATACGCCTACATGCTGTGTGCCGAGCGGCCATGGATATACGTTTTGTTGTGACCCTACATCAGTATTGGATAATCATAAACCTAACTAATTCCCATTGAAGAGAAGTGCCTCAGATTTCGGCGAAAGCCCTCTCCATTTGCTCCACTCTGTTCGGCTCAAAGCCCTTTACCGGACCGAAGACATACGCCGCTTGGCCTGAGTTAGGGTGTACTGTGCGCACACTAACATGGAACTCAAAAAAGGGGCTCGCCCAAAAGGGGCTTCCTCTGAAAATGATTGCTTCTTGTTTTGTGTGTTTTTTTGTTGGGAGGGGTTGAGTGAGACAGTTAGTCATGTTAATTTGCAGGGGAGCATGTGCTTGTGTCCAGTTGAACCTATCAGCGCTCTAAGTCCTAGAGTTTGAACTGCAGTTGCCAGGGGAATCCTGATACCCTTTCTCCAGCGAAAGCAGATGTGCGTGTTTTTTTGTTTGTTGTTTTCTTCCGCAAGGACTTAGAAAGGCAGCATTTGCATTGTGTGCGCGTCTAAGGTGAGCCAGGTTTTGCATCTCGAGTGCAATGTGGAAGATTGCATTGACTATTCTGGCTGTGGCCTTGGCGGAGGCGCAGGACAGCCGGAAACTGGAGTCACAACCTGCGGCACCTAGCTTATAGCCTGGGTGGTTCCAAACCAAGCCTTGGCCCTTTGTCGCATAGTGGCTTCCCTCGCTTTGGGGATATCACCATGTTGAACCAAAACAACAGAACGGAACGGGGACACGTGTCCAGTTGCATGGTGCCACAATGTGCCACATACGCATGAGCTGGTGCCCCGGCTCTTGCCTCCAAGCAGGCCATCCTGGATAGATGAGAAAGAAATACTGGATACTTCATGGTTGTTGCTGGGAAACATTTTACATTTTGGCTTATTGTGGTTTAGTGGGAAATCCCCACTTTCCTGATTATTATTTTTTTGCTCCCCTTCTCTTGTCAACCAAGACTTTAGAGCCTCCGGCTCAGGCCGCCAACATTGCGTCTCCCATGATTGTCCCCTTCACGTGCCGCTCATGTCCTCTTCATTTCCTTTTGTTCTTTCTCTTGTCCCTTCCTTTTCCCTCTGCACTCCCCTTCATTTCCCTTGCATGTCTCTTGATTGTTCCCTTCATCTCCCCTTCATTTCCCATTAATCTCCCATTCGTATCCCATCCATTTCCCTTTCATTTCCCCTGCATCTCGCTTGATTTCCTTTCATTGCTCTTCATTCCCCGTGTCTTCCCGTTCATCCCTTCAATTCCCCTCCTTCATTTCCCCCTCATTGCTCTCCGTTTCCTTTCATTTCCCTTTCATTTCATTTCATTTCCCTTCGTTTCCCCTTCATTCCGGGAAAGAGGCCTCGTGGACATGATTGTTTTATTCTGCCTGCCCTACAACCTCATACCGTGCTTCTGACAAATGCTTTATGCCACAGCAGACGGGGGGGTGTAAGTTGTCATCGCTCGTGTTCCATGGCTTTTGCTGGAAGAGGCCCAGGCCTAAGGTGTTATTGTAGCAGTGGTTCACGTGGTGAGTGGCTGGGGGAGAGAGAAATCGATGTGTTTTCTCGCACTCAGTGAATGTTTGTGTGATGTTGTGTGCGTGTGCTGTTTGTGTGTGTGTGTGTGTGTGTCTTTACGCCTCCGCATCTCTATGTCTCTGCGTCCCCGCGAGTTGCTCTACCAAGTTGAAGCAAGAGGAAATTGTTTTAGTGCTGAATTCGCATTGGTCACGCGCGGACATTCTTATTGCAGCCTGCCTTTCCGGGCACGGCCCGATCCTTTCGTGGCAGGCAAGGGTGTTGAGGAGGCAAAGGAGGAGGCAGGGAACGATGCATGGAAGATTCACCAGGCTTTGGGAACATGTGCAGGCCCCGCACTTGAAAGCCGATGGTCGCTTGACTAGAACAGGATGTCACAGCAGAACTACGTCCGGGCACCACGAAAGAAGAGGCTCGCCTTGGCCTGCACACGGCCGAGCCTCATGCGTTTGGAGGCCGGACCGAATGCAGCCTGACACACGTTGCGCTGATGTGCTTCGCGGCTAGCCCACACTAGGGATGTGTAAGAGTGCAGGACGCGTGTTTCGGTGTTAGCCTTTTGAGAACGCAGCGAACTTCGAACTTCCAAGCATTACCAAGTTGGTTGCAGACTTACCAGGTTGCGTCACGCTTTGAACTTTTTTTACTGTATAAATGTATGTGTGGCTTTGTTTGGCCCAGCGCAAAGCATAGCGTGCTTGAGCATCGGTTCTCACAGCACCCACCTCTTCAGGCAAGTGCGGCGGCAACCGTGTGGCCAGCCATTGAGCGCCCCAGACGCGTGTCGGCCAAGTTGCGGCTTGCCCCACTCAACCAATCTCAGCCACCCACCCTCTCGAAGTACATTTTTTTGTGGAGCGGAACTGGCGAGTGTGCAGCTGCGGCCACTGCTAAGGCTAGAGCAATGCTCAGAGTCCAGTGCCATCAGCTGCACGGATGGTATCAAAATTTCTTTGCAATTTCCAAACTCGTCTGACAAATGCCTTATGCACCCCTAGTTTCATGTCATTTCCCTGTCGCATCCCTGTCAGTTTCGATTTGCCCTTAATTTCCCGCCATGTCCCCTTATTACTCTCCGTTTCCCTTCATGTCCTTTACATGCCCCTCCACCCCCCCTTCATTTCCCCCTTATTGCATTCCGTTTCCCTGTATGTCCTTTTCATTCCCTGCATTTCCTCCATTTCCCCTTCATTCCCCCACAGGCAGAAGACCCGAGCGTCATCAAATTACCGCGCGGCACGTGCTCCCCCACCCCCCCTCACGTCTACGCATCACACGTGTCCCCGGAGCGGGGGGGCTGGGTTCACCTCTATCCTCTCTTAGGTGTCCGACACGCGGAACAATGTCGGCGGAATTTATGTTTCGAGCATGCAACTACTTGGCCTTGTTGTTCTGGCGAATGCCCTGAAAAAAAGACTACACTTTGCTCACTTCTATGCAGGAAACGCGGATGCCCCAACTGTAGAGTTCACCTGCGTCACGGCAAAACCACCTTACTCTAGAAGCCCGGCATTTGCGTATGTTTTTTGGGTGCCCTTGTGTGGGGTGGGCTTTAAAGGGCCCCTTATTCCACAGGGGGTTGATGGCTCCGGGATGTGTCAAGCAAAAAACAACACCGTTTGGGCAATGTTCAAAACAAGTTTCCCTGTAAGTGATGTTTAAATGGAACATGGGGGCCTGTCTCACTCACTGACCAGTTGTCTTAACAAAGGCAGCTTCTGGGCTGTTTTTGTTGTGGTGGGTGTACCCTCCACCCTATTAACATGCTGACAGGTCCCTTTAAAGGAAAATTGTCTCCGAGGACTTTCCAATTACATTTCATGCAAATTGGATAAACAGAACGTCTGGAGTTTTTCTGACCAGTCCACTAGCCTAAGCTTCACAGGACTGCGAAGCGGACGAGCTGCAGCTTTTGCAGGGCAAGAAGCAGCAGGAGAGACTAGTTTGTAACGATGGTTATAACTCAGGCAACTCGGGTTAGTCCCCTTGTAACCATTTTTAGAACCTATTCATTAAGTGGACTGAACCCCAAGCATATGGCCATGAGTTTGAGGTGAAGCGACCTCAAGAGTCATGGACATGAATCTTTATTGAAGTCTGATGTCCACCCAGGGGCGGAAACTTATTTGGACATTGTGCTGTTCAAAACCACGAACACGCGCGTGATTTATGAGGATTTGCCTTTTGTTTCTCTAAATCCCCGCAGTGGTTAGGTGGTTTTAGGCACGATTTTTGGGCTTGTCAAAGGGACACCAAAAGGAAAATCGAAGCGACTCCCTAGTCTGACACATACACACACACAGACACCTATGATCATCATGGGGGTGACTCATGTGTCGCATGGAAAAAACTGATGGTCCAAAAAAAGCACGGTGCACAGTAATCAAGGAGTAGCATGGGACTTTTGATGCCGCCCCAGCAAGAATCAAAGGGCACCGGCAATTTGAAAAGGGGCATGAAACGGATTTGGTCATTTGGGTTGGGTTGGCATCTGGCGCAAAGAAACTCCATACTTTTTGCTTCATGATTCAGCACACCATATGATGTTCATTTGCTCAAAGGAGTCGAACAGGGCATGGATGGCTGTTATGTTTGCGTTTGTGTTTGTTTACCCCCTACATGAAGCCAAGGCGGATGGAGGGTGTTTAGGAGTTGTTTGATATGAAGACCCCTAACCCACCTGTCAATGCGAGGCCGGGTAGATTGGTAGAACAGCAGGGTCCTGGGGCGAATTGCCTTGGTTGTTTGTTGGCGAGAATTACCGAATAAATTGGATGCCATCCAGTGTCAACCAACCTACAGGCCTAGCGGTGGGTGATGGGTGAGTTTTGCCCAGGTGAAGCTGGAGGCCCGACGTCACACGTCGACCTGTTTTGGGAGATAACTTCACGTTTCAGTTTCTTCTGACTGCCAGTTTTTTTGGACATAATACAATGATCTGAATAATTGCCAATCATTTGCTGCTTGATCATGACTTAGATTGGTTTCTTAGCTGTCCAAAGCCAATCGACCTTTTGACCTTTTGGCTTTCCAGTTTTTAATCCATATTTAGTTCATCGCCCCGAAAGGTTAACCTTTTCTTCCTGGGTCCTGTGGGCAACTGAGGCTTTAAAGTACCCTACAACCCCATCCTGGTTTGGCAATGACTTTGATTGGGCAAAGCACGTCTTGGTGATAAAGTGCATTTACAGGATGGCCAGATGGTGGGAGATTCTGAGCAGTTCCCGGACTTGGACAAGCTTCTTGGCAACCGCAGGTGAGAAAGACAGAGAGAGAGGGAGAGAACCATACCCTTGCTAGTTTTCAACGGCAACGGCTCCAGATCGATCATTGCTTAGGTGGCTTTCCTGGTCCTAGTGGTGTACAGGGAGAAGAGAGAGAGAGCAGGGAGAAGAGTGTAGCTTCCCCAAACCTTGCGGCGTGGCATGGAGACCTTTCTGAGCTCTGCCATTGGCGTGGCTCTGGAAGCTCCAGAGACAAGCAGTCCATCTTCCACAGTATGCCCCTGCAGATAGACATTGTACCCATAAAAGAATCAGTTCAAGAGTTTTGGAGGCTTGGAACGCGAAAGTGAAAGTGCAACAGCACAAACCAAGGCTGGGCAAGATGGCCAATCAGCTCGGTGGCGTCTTTGGCAAAGGCGCACATTTGCCGTAGCCTTGGGTCTCCTCCTAACTTAGTGCATATATCAGACTAAATCTGGGTGTGTCTTTTTGAGGGTGTCCTTTTTGGGTGACTCAGCATGAAAACCACATGTCATTTTATGATTATTGGTTTTTGGCGGGGGGGAGGGGACCTAATAAGCTCAGGTGACATCCCCAACAGCATGCGGTGATCTTTTTAGTGCTCGAACCACCCCGCAGCCCTCGCAGAACCTCGTGGAGCCCTCGTGGAGCCCTCGTGGAACCCTGGTGGAACCCTCGTGGAAACCTCGTGGAACCTTGCCTCAGGGCCGCCCCGGACCACCCCGCAGCCTATCTGGGCTGAGACCCCCAAGCTTTCAGCTGTTGGGGAAAAAAAGTCACCCAGAATCTGAATGCATCTTGGAAGTTGGGCCAAATGTGTGGACCATGCCGAAATGTGGGGTGGGGGTTTGTTTCAAATGGAAGGTACCTGCTGCTGCATCAACCTTCACCCCAATATGTTGCATGCTTGTGTGACGCAGTTTCCGTAAGGATTATGTGGTTGCGACAGGAACGAAAAAGCAAGTCCAAAATCCTTTTTACGGGTTTAGTTCTGCAGGCCTGAAGACGGTGACTGGCAAGCTCGACGGTGCCCTGAACATTGCCAACAGCAAAGTGCTGATGCCAGACGCAATTGGTCACTTTCCCTTGCAGGGGGGAGTACCTAATTTGGGGCAAAATATCACAAACAAGGATAGCTTGAGGTTCCAGATGGAAATTCTCGTCGCTGCTGGTGTAGAAGACTAAAGCGCAAATGTCAGCATAGGGTAGCATGCTGACGGAGCGGCAGAGAGAGAGGGTAGCATTTGAGCGCACTTGCAACTTCCAATTTGGAAGCCGCAGGAGGTTGTAGGTTCACATCTTGCTAGTTCAATCAGTATATGTTTGATTTGACCCGAGATGTTCCATTCCCCACGAGCTGCGCATGCTCCCTTCGCTTCGGATATTAGACGTCAGCTACAGCAAGAAACACGTGCCAGCATCTCGCCTCGGGCAAGTCCAACGTCTCTTGCTGTTGCCTTAAAAATCAATTTTGGGCGAGGGGCCCTCGATCAAGCAAGTGGCAATTTATTGCGACCTTTATACCCAGACCTTCAGTGGTGCCCTTCTTCTTTTGGAGGGGGGCTACCCTTCAAATCAGCCGCCCGCAAAAGAGTGCCCTGTTTTCCCACACTGAAGTGAACCTCCCGCGACCCCGTAGTGCGGAACGGGTCAGAAGCGACAGCCTGGTCGTCAGATTTCTTTGGGAAGCCAGTGGACCAGGAGGTCCCATGCCAATCCAGATTCAGGTTGCATCGGCGAGCTTGGGGATGTTCAACGCAGGCAAGTTGGTCATGGCCATGGTTCGAACTGCGGCAGGGGTTGGTGTTTCCATGTTTCTTCTTGTCACCATGGACATGAGCTACTTACCAAATAGCTTGAACACCCCCCCCCCTCGACCAGCAGTCAGCCTGTGTAGGACAACTAGTTGAGTGGAGATTAGTTGATCCTTCATGTTGCTCTGAAAGTCCATTATCCGCGCTGGCATTCACACCCAAGCTGCTCTGCATCTGGGGGAGGGTTGCCCCAATAAAATAGACCAGAAAAAAGAGCACCCTTATTCTAACCTCTCTACTAGAGGACCTAGTTTTTTTGTATTTATTTACATATTATTATTATTTTTGGGGGGGGAGGCGGCGCGGTTGTCCTTGACCCGTTGCCAGCACCAAAGAGTCGCGTGATCATGCTGGGTAGGGGTGTGCAAGGGCATAGCTGTCCAAGCACTTACCAGTGCCATCTAGTGTTTCAAAATCAAGGGCATGTCCAGGTGTGTGGTTTCTGGAGGTACGGACGCTGTGCGTCCCTAGTGGCATTTTTGACCTTCACACCTCCAAAACCCATGATTGGAAGGTCTGACAAAAGTTGACACCCGAAGGCTCCGTTGTTCAGTGGCACCCTTTTTCCCCTTTTTTTTTGACGGCTGCCCCACCAAAAATGGTCTTCCCCAAAACGGGTTCCCCTTTTCTCCCGGCTCACTGAACAACTGACGCCCGACGTCTTGAGATCCAAGGGCTGTGGCCAAGACCAACTCGGCCCTGGTCCGCGACTTTGAGCTGGGGGCCAATGCCAATGGCAGCATCAGCCGCTTCGCTTTGTGAACGGTGGCTGCGGGGTTGATCGGTTCCTTCATGTCCCTTTGCACATACAGTGGCTTTGGTGCATTTTGCTTGGCTGTTGCAAATGGGTTTTCCACTAAACCACTAAAAGTTAAACTTTTAGCAGGGGAGCAGAAAGCGACCGAGGTGGGTCAAAAATCGAGGTACCCAAAATGGAGCCCTGGTGAAGGGAACCAACTAAACCTGTGGTCCCCTGCTCGAATTTGAGCCGTACCCATATGCAGTTGCCCAAAGCAAAGCGACCGGATCTGACCTTTTGGCCTTTCCAGGTCCTTTGAGGCCAGTGAGGCTGCGTTTAGATGAGTTTCCTCTTGATGTGAGGGATGCATCCGCAAATTTCTGTGTACTTGGCCCGCTTTCCCTTGGCTTAGCCCAAATTCGGGGTGCACCAAGATGGCCCAGTCGCCTTTAACAAGAAAAAAGAAAGAAAGGAGGGGCAAGAAGCCCTATATGTGCCCCCCCCCAAAGTCTGCAAATGATTTTGGGTACCAAACATCAGGAGCGCCTGGCCTGGGCAGTGCCCATTTGAGGCATGGCCATTTGTGCAGCCAATATGGGCGTGGCGTGGCATGTGTGTGTGTTGTTTTTCTTTTGGGACCCCCTAAACTGGTGGTTTTCCTTTTGGGCTTTTCTTGGAAGCCACGGAAGAAAGTACCTTAAACCCACACACACACACACACACGCGCGCATCAAACTTTGCTTATTCATCATGAAACGTTCAAGGGGGTGAGAAAACATTTCTCAACCAGACCACCCTGAGACTTTTGGCCCACAGAAGTTTCACATTTCATTCACCAGAAGCAGGCAAATCTTACACTTGATTTTGTGGGCATTTGCGGTGTTTGCAACGGCGACTTTTGCGACGCGAGTTTCTATGAAACCAACTACACAGGACACCCTGATTTTGGTGGGAATTTGGCTAGTTTCCTATAGAATTTTCAGCTGGTTTCTATGAGAGTTGTTATTTCGGCATTATTTCGAATTTCGCTTTACGCAAGAGAATCCTCAAAGGAGCTTTTGGACAGGTGAGGCTCGCATGCGTGCTTCTGCCAGTAGCAGGTCACGCTCACGATGCATCACACACTCGAAGGCTGGCTTAGGGAGCCAACTTGCAACGTTTCTTTGTTCTTTGACAACAAACGGAAGCTGCGTGCGTTGCTTTCGCCCAGAGGAAGTTCGCGTTTACTTGAGCTTGCCACAGCTCTTGGTTGCGGTCACAGCAAAGTGAGCTGGCTCTTACTTTGGTCAGCAGGTCGGCTTTTCTGCAGCTTCACAGCCTCGAAGACTTGCGACAGCTCGATTGTGGAAACACGGTGTTGCTTCGGTCGTGCCTTGGGGTGAAAGGAAGCAGCGATCAAGTTGGCGTTCTTCGATTGCCAGTCTTCCGAGTGTTCCAGGGAACACTACATGAACGTGGCCCGTTACTGGCAAAAGCACGCGTGCTGCATGCAGGTGTGTACATGTCCCAAGATTCAATGTGCTGGCATACGGGTGTAAACCGCACCCAAAACGGGGAAGCGCTAAAAAAGCAAATCCAAGAGCAACAGAGACTGAGGCCAAAACCTGACCAAGTTCAAGGCGCTCCTCAACAAGACAGCGCCATCCTCAGATTGAGCGTTCGGGGATTCGTGAAGCATCACCTTCAGGAGGCTCGCTGTGCGTACCCTTTTCACATGGAACCTGACCTTCGAGAAATGGTCCCAGGACTCCCTTACGTCAGGTTCCATGCTAATAAGTGGGCGGTGGGAGAGTATGTTCTGTGTAAGACCAGCTGGTGATGTTTAAAGTCAAGCAACCCCCCACTTTTGAGTTCATGGACTTTGGACACTTTTTGGGCTTGGGCCAAATTAGTGGATAAGAAGCTTCGACTTTTCTGGGCCCGTCCACTCAGGAAGCGAGATTATAATATTTACATATATATTTATATCTCATATATGTATATTATATATATAGGGTATGTCTGGTCTTCGTAGGGGTCCTTTTTAGTGATGGATGTGGAAGGCACTGGTGTGAATTTGGTAAATTATTACTCCGCATGGAGGTCCTTTAGCTGGCCTTATCACTTCGCAAGTGGTAGGTTAAAGGTAAACAACCCCAGGTTTGATCAGCAACGTTGATTGAGTGTACAGGATGATGTGCAGCTGACAGAGGGCATAATACCAGCTCTTGTGTATTTGCACGCCGCTTCATGTGCGTGTGGGCCAAATCAAAAAAAAACACCTGGCTATGCACCGCAGGTTTTAGCCCATGTTTTTGCGTTTCCCAGGGCCAGCCATTTTGGGGTCACCAAATTTTGACACCGACGTGACTGGTGTCGATTCGGGCCAGACCGGGAGCCTTATGCCCACCTTCACGGCGGTCACGCAGCAGGCGCGGCACCTTTCATGGCCACTGGGCTTTGAGCACAGGGGTCCCCAAACGGATGCTTTGGAAGATGAGAGGGGCACGTTGTGGGCCCAAAGGGCCAGGACGGAATTACCCTTCTGTTGAAGATATGCTTTTTGTTGGAGTTAATCTGAAGAGTACCTGTAGAAAGTCAAATGCCCGATTGAAATCAAGCCACCGGTCTTTCGGCCTTGTTCGGCCTTCTGCAATTTCGCCTAAAGAAGGCTTGCTAAAACCTGGTGAGGCCTTCCCCCAAACCCTGGCGAGGGCGTTTTTTGAGTTTGGAAGGTCCCTGGTTGGTGCCAGATCCAAACACATGGGCCATGTTTGGCACATGGGCCATCCTGGAGGTTCCTTGTTCAAGGGACACACAACATATCGACCAATAGACGCAGGCATGGGAAGTGCTGAGATTTGATTGACTGATATTGGGTTTGATCTTTAGCCTTTCACTTTCAATGGGTGTTCCACTAAACCCACAAAAAGTTTAGCTTGTTGCAGAGGGCTCAACAGATAACAGCAACCAAGTTTGTGTGTGGGTTGTTGTTCTGTTTTCATCTAGGAAGGAAGCGGGTCCTTGCACACTTTCGAACGGGTCATTCGGGGCCCAAGCCTCGCCAGGTCACTGGAGCCCTGAGCGCTGCCCAGTCCACGTTGGGCACGTTGGGCAAGCAGGAAGTCGCTATGGTCGCCTGAAAGACCAACGTGGCTAGCAGACTGCCAAGTTCGAAAAGGGGCCCTTCAAAGATATCGGGGCAGTTAGAAAGTCACCTTGACCAGCCGAGTTAGAGGATCCCCTGACGAAACATGTGGTGGGATGTATCCTTTCAGGAGCCCTAGTTTGGGGCGGGCTCAGGTGGGGGTAAAACGACCTCAGGATGTAGGTCCTTCACTTGGGGATCCAATGCTGAGTGCCACAACGACAAGCCCGCAACCTCAGGACTTGGTGAAGAAGCTGGACAGCTGCGTCCAGACGGCCAACCAAAAGGTCGCCTCCATGAAGATGAAAGCGGAGGCAGCGAGGGAACGAGGTTTCTATTTCAGAAGTCGCAGGACAAGCAGACCCATGTTCGTGGGGTGCTGTTCAACCCGTTTTTTCGGGGCAACCCAAAGGAAATACCCCACAAAGTTCGGGTTGGCGCCAGGCCGAAAGCCAAAAGGAAAGCAATTAGTCAGAAAGGATCTGCGACCGTGCGTGTTTGTTGCTGGGAGGGCAACTTTGTGTTTCCATGCATTCTTATGGGGCCCTTATATCACACCCATTTTTACTTGTATATGGTTCTACATACATATTTCCCATCACCCCCTCCCCCACACAATTGTAATTTATGCAATGCAATTGCGTGCAGCAAGGTGAGCTTTCGCGAGCGGTTTTCTTCGGTGCAATTTGCAAGCCGGCAACTTCCATTGGCTGAAATGAGGCATGTGTTCTTTTCCCTTGGGTTTAAAGTTGGATTCTATCACTCCTGGAACTATGCTTATATTTTCCAGGCTTGGGCAAATGGAAGGCCACGGCTTGCACGGTTCCCGCTGCATTTGCACTGGCGTGTCATAGCACTTTGCAGCAGCTTTGCGCCGCTGGGGGCGCAAAGCGCGTGAGAGCTGAGCATCGTACACACCCCGTTGACAAGGACAATCAGTTGTCATTTCTAATAATGGTGATTGTTTTTGGATCCTTTGGGCAAGTGAGTCGAATCTGCAAAGCGGGAACACCAAACCAGCACCACCACGTGGATTGTTCCAGTTTTTGGGGTTTTGTGCACGTATAGTCCTTCCATTTAGTTTCACTCAACAGGCCTGCCCTGGCTCCAGCACAGCAGTCCCCTTTCGGTAGGATGGGTCACAACTAATCCATTGTTTTTGCATCGGTTGCGCAGCTCAGACCAATGAGCAAACCCAGTCCAATTGCTTTGGGCCGCCAAATTTCTACCCTGGCAGGGAATGGTTTGGCCCCTTTGGGGGTCAGGTAGCAAGGGGCTTACGCGGGGGCTTCAGGCCGCGGGACCTTCAAAGTCATGGTGGCGTAATGGTTTGCTTGGGACCGGCCAACCCTGCCAAGCACAGCAAACGGAGCTTTTCTGAGTCGACTTCGCACGCCTTCCCAAAATCTTGGAGGTTCAAAGAGGGGCGTGTGGCTGGGGCTTTCAGGAACTATGAGGTCAACTTGTTCAGCTTCAAAGGTTATCCAGTCGCTGTGTCGGAAAGCTTGGAAGCCCTGGACGACCAAAAGAAAGCCAAGTACTTGTACGGCGCCCCAAGTTCCAGTGGCGTCGAATTCCTTTTCGGTCAACCCCGAAAAGAAAGGGGTCTGTCCTGTTTTCGCGGATGTCGTGTTTTTGGTGGCCTCAAAGGGAAACCAACAAAACAACCACCATTTGGGGTTCACCCAAGACAAGGACATACCCAAATGGTTCCTTTTTCGCCGAACTGGTCCAACGCTTGGGACGGGATTCTTCGCAGGAAGTGGCAGGAGACTTCGCGCCGGCGGCTGAAGACAAACTCGAGGATGCGCTTGCCCCCCGGAAGTCGAACCGACGACACGTCGCATGGGGGCGGGGGAGTTTTGAGGCTAGCCAACCTGCGTCCTCTATGTTTGGAGAAGAACATGGGTGGGGGAGTTTTGAGGGTAGCCAATTCTTTTGCGGGTTCCTCCATGTTTGGGAGAACACCCAATTTCGGATATAGGTTTAAAGAGGAACCAGAAGTGAGTTGTTGGGTCCAAATCCCTGTATTGAGAGACACGCCCACGAAAAGAACCCCCCCAAACTGGGGCCCGCCCCTTTTCTTTACCAAGCCTTACCCATGAAACCGAACAGAAGCTTCCTTGACCCAGTCTAAACCAGGGACCAGAAAACCAAAGAGGAGTGACCTCAAAGGGAAGTTGCCACCGCAGAGTGAAGGTCTCTTGCGGAAGGTGGATTCCAGAAATTTCAGGTGTGTACTCGAAGTTGCCCGAGACATCTCGTAGGCAACGTGAGGGACTCCACCTTAAAGGCTAATCCCAACGTCAAGCGCATGCGGCCGAGGGGCCGAAGAAAGCCAAGGCCCTGACCATTTTGGGGGCGCACATTTGGTGGGTGGTTTGCATGGTCTGATGGATGCTTCGCGTCTCAATTGTCTAAGGCCAACCTGTTTGACCTCTTTTAACATGTTGGATTTTCAGTTTGGTTCAGTTACAGTGCCCCCACCGCCTCGCCTCGAATTTGTCGCGCTTGTCTCCTTGACATTAAACATAATAGAGTCGCACTGTGCTTGGGGTTTTTCCAGGCTTGCGTGCATATATCATCCAACAATTCGCCCACAAATTGTCAATCTAATCAGCTACCGGGGCGCACAATTCGCAATATTGTCCAGAGCAAATAAACAGCATAATCTGTCATGGCCATGTGATGAAAAGCGAAAGGAAAACCACCAAAAGTAATTTCGAGAGTTTCTCAAAAGGCCTGGTTCCTGCCTGGCCCCCAAAAAGGATCCCCGCATGTTTCAACCTTTCGGTCCGGTTGCAAGCGCTCACTCCCTGAGTTGCTAGACTTGTTACATTTTGGGGATCGGACCAGTTTAGCGGCAAACGAAAATCCGGGAATGTTTGGGATTGCTTTGGGACAGCTTTTTAGAGCTTGTATCATGGAGGCGGGGCAGGGGAGGGGGAGGGAGCCCAAATAAGCCCCAATAAGGTCTTATTGAGGGCTGAACAAGGGCTCCCTCCCTCCCTCCCCCCGAGCCCCCAAGATTGTATGAGTCGTTTGCGGGCTTCATAGGCGTTTTTGCTGGTCTTGGCCAAGCTTCGGAAGTAAGCGAGGCCGGCATGGACTCCAAGCTGGAGGCGCTCCAGGAGGAGACCACGTCCTTCACCCAGGACTTCGACGTCAACTTTAAGGCCCGAGTTGGGTGTGTAAAACAAACTAGGTCTCCCAGTAGTGCCTTTTACCCTTTTTGGCGGGAGGGTTCCCCTACTAAAATCGACTACAGAAAATAGGGCACTCGTATTCTACCCTCTCTACTGGAGGACCTAGTAAAAAAACGAGAACAAACATAACAAACTAATAGACGCAACAAGAAACGCGTTTGTTTTTTTGTTTTGTTTTCGGGGACCCCCAAAGTGCTGGGGGTCTGTTTGGTTTCTCGTTTTTTTTTTTTTTTTTTTCCCACCCCAAAAGGGTACCCACCAAACAAGAGAGATCCATTTGGGAATGGACAGCTCGTCAAAATGAAAACAGGCACACCTCCGTCTAAGAACATTGATCTTTCAGGTGCCCTCCTGGTGCTACGTTAGGCAGCAAAATAATAGCGCGTATTCTTTGTCCAATGGAAATCCAGCTGGGTGAAATAGTGCAAAATGACCCATGATTTGTTTATGCAGAAGGCTATGTTGCGGTTAAAAGTCCAAGTGGACAAGAAGCCGACCAATTGTTTGTTTCCCTGCAAGCCTGGGCGGTTGATTGCTCTTCAGTGTTCCAGACCGCCTCGTTGACACCCAGAAGCTGCCGAAGGAACCCCCCACCAGGTGTTTGTTTTTTTGCTATTTGGGGTCTCTCTGAAAGGACCTTACATGTTAAGGTTCAGTGGGAACCAAGCGATACAGGTTTGGGTTGCATGCCACGTGTACCAAGTTGTTTGCACCAGTTAGGTTATGGTGTTGCTTCTTGGCACCAGTGAAGCAGTTGCGTGTGCGCCACATTGACGCCCCTTCGGACCCCCGAAGGAAGGCTGTGTCCTTTTCGGGTCCCCTGTTGCCCAACATCCAAAGGCGCTGCGTCGGTTGGCTGCAAATTTCTTCGAAATACAACCAGAACTAGCATGCATGGTCCAAACTTGGGTACCCCTTGCTGATGAATGGCTTTCAAAGGGAACCAAGAGAAAACCAAAAGGAAACCACACATATTATTTTTTGGACGCACCGGTTACATGGGTTCTACAGTTCTTGGAGGGTCCTTGTTTGACCCGTGAGAATAACTCGGGTCAAAGGCAAAGCTTGCAACAAAGATGAGGGGTCCAGAAGTTGTCGGGCGACCAGAAACGAAGCGGACGAACGCGGGCAAGTTATGAGCCCTTGGGCTGAATCGAGATGAACTGACGGTCTTTTACTTGATTGATTTTGCGGAGTGTCCATTTGTGAATGGTACTTCGCCCGGATCATGTGCCATGGTAAAAAAACAAAAAAACGCCTTCCACTTGGAGCTTAGGCTTCATCCTCCTGCTGATGGACTACATCCTGCCAAACATTGGTAAGTTTAATCCAGTCACGGAGCTTCCATTTGTTGGATGTCCATTCAGGGCCCCTCGCCCCAAAGACACGGCGCGGTGCCAGGGCTTTGCCAGCGATTTGACGGGCGCGGCCCAGGACGCGCATGGCGAACTGAGGTTTGCGGGCAAGGATGCAAATTTGGGCCGTGTAACCTAACCCAGCTCTTTAACAGCTGAGAAAGAGGACCTTCGAGAATGGGGTTGTGGATGTATCCGGCGGTTTCGTGTACACGGCACGGGGTACGAGAGGCAAGGTACTGAATGGCTGACTCGTATTGCCCCCAGCCCTTGGCTGGTGGTTTTGATTTGTGACTTTGGGATTTGAATTCGTTCTTGTGGAGAGAGATGGAAAACCGCCCCAATGAATCACCCCCTTACACCCGGGCGTGGGGAAGCTGCGCAGGAATTTATGGGGGCGGATGCAGCCATGGAGATCGGCAACGTCACAGAGAAGGCGGGGGGTTGATCTGTTCCCGAAACTTCAGGCCCTCCTGGTTGTGATGCACCACATCACGTAGTGGAGTGATGTTTCATCTGGTTTTTGTATTTTTTCCTGGTGTGATGTTGGGAAACTATAGAGAGCGCCACCCCCTGAGTAACAATTGTATGGAGATGGGCGCAGAGACGTGGCCAAAAGCAAGCGGCAAAGCAGGGAGCGAGCCGGACAGGGAGGCCTTTCGAACAACTCGCTCTGACATAAACCATTCGGGGTGGTATGAAAGGGAAGACATGGGAAGCCAATCATTTAGGTGGTGAAAATCCGATGATCATAAAGGTTCACAGGGTGTCTAGTGTTTGAGAAGGAGCGGCGTCTAATTTGACACATGCCCACACGTGGACGGACAGGTGGAGATGCTTCTGATGAACTTCCAGTCCATGGTTGCTCCTTGGCGAAGAATTGGCTCCGATTGGAGGGCCTCCAAGAAATTCGGTTCTATGGCGGTAAAGCGCCCTCAGCTTGCCAGGGTCTACTCTTCAATTTCTCAATAGGATCCTTTTAAGTAGAGCAGAGGCTATGCTGCAAGGAAAAAGCTCCATTCCCGTTTGTACGACCTCTATGGCCCAATTGCCCCCGTTTGGTTTTGAGCATCCTCTTTTGGAGGGGCCCGTTTCGAAGCACCTTTTGGCCTTTGGGGTTTTCCAGATTCGGCTGAGCGACGCGAAGTTTCCCTGAAGTGGGGTGATGTCCTTCGGAGCTCTCGGATCCCAAAAATCACCTCTAACATCTTAAGTCCTCATGGCTCGACTTCCCTGTCCGACTGGAATCTTTGATTTCGCACCCGGATGATAGATTTGATTGACGTGTGCAAAGAATGTCCTGAGCCCCGTGAGAATGATTCATATGGGATTTGGCAGCCTTGATATGCCGGGAAGCTGTGTCAGTGCACATGCGCGCAAAGGATGGGACCTTAGAATGGCGTTGTGGTACCACATTAAGTCATTACGCGAAAATAGTGGGTGCAGCTTGGAGACTCCCCCCCCCCCCCCCCGGGAAGGCTAAGGAATTGAGGTTCCCGCCGGAAACGGAATTGATCTCAGGGAAACGCCACGTCCGGGCTGAAGACGTGCGGATCCAGCGTGGACACGGCAATGCACAAAGCAAGCCGCTCGTCAGGACATCAAGGCCCCCACCCACCCAAAGACCCCAAACAGACCCTTACTGTAGTTAAGGCTTTACACTCCCCCAGACTAACATGGAAGCTCCTAGAAGGCCTTTGTAAATGGAACTAAATCTTCCAAAAAGGTCCTGGCAGCTTCCATGTTAGTCTGGGGGAGGGTATTTCCAGTTGCTGAGCTCTACTGCAATGTTGACCCCCTGATAAATATCCCCCCCCCCCGCAAGACAAGGTCCACAAAAAAGTGTTGGAAGGCCCCCTTTGCTCCCTAATATTCATGTCTCCTTTTGGTTCTTTCTGGTCCTGTCCTTTTTTTATCCAAGAGGACAGGAATAGGAAAGCACAGGGAAACTGCAATGGATGTTCTCCAAAGCTGGAAAGTAGCAGGATTAATCACGGGGGTGTTGTATCATTCCAGGGATCGTTGGCCCTGAAGAGGGGTACCCTTTATTAAACCTTCATGTTTCACACCACACGTAAGAAGACATGCCCTGCTTCTCGCTAGCTTTGTTTGCACTTTCGGCCCCTTACAACTATGAGGGGAACTAGCACTGGCAGAGCATTGGCAATCGTTCTCGTGAATTGAGATTGTGCTTGTTCGTTTCTGTGGAATTTTGGGTAACCTGATGGCTGTTTTTATTCAGGGGCTTCTGGTGCGTGCTAGCGATGGATTAATTGAGGGTGAATGTTTAGCGAAAACTTGGGCACGAAGTAGTATTGGCTGGCAGTTGGAACGGGCAGTCTGTTAAGTCAAAATTAGTGATAACCCTCCGACCAATTAACATGGAACCTGACGCGGGATCCCTTAAAAGGAAATTGGTGGGAGGGTAATAGTAGTGCTGATCAGTGCCACCAGATGTTGGCCTTTTGAGCGCCTGCAAAAAGCACCGGAATTTGGGAAGCCTTCATCTGTTCCCGGGCGGATCTTGCCACCGGCCGATTGTTGTTTTGGTCGTAGGCCGAAGGTAACGTGGGGTCAAAAATCAGTGGCGTTGGAAATCCTGGGTGAACATGTGTCACTGCTTCTTCCATTACGACTGGAGAAGTGGCCTGGGATATTGAAGAAAATGCGGCCTGACGTAATAAGTCATTTATTCTCTCAGTTGTTCAGTGGCACCCTTTTTCCCCTTTTTTTGGGTGGCTGCCCCCACTAAAAATGGTCTTCCCCAAAAAGGGTTCCCTTTTTTTTCTCCAGGGTCACTGAACAACTGAGTTCTGTGCTTCAATCAGCATTTCCCTGGACTTCTTGTTTAGCGGGCCCGTGTGTCCCCTGCAACCAGCTTTCCAGCCAGTTGGCCAGAGAGAAACCATGGCAACTGGCCCTTTTGGTGGAAACCATTGAAAGACACCAACAGATGCACAAACCTAGCAAATAACGAATTCTCGGACATGTGAAGTTTGGGGACCCCCGGTTCCTTTCTCGATTTCCCCGACATGAAGTGAGCAGAAGGCTTTCCTGACCCATAGCTCCCATGGCGGGAAGACCTGCATGCTCGGTGGGTTTGGCTGCTTAAGCAAATGGTTGGTCCAACCCTAATGTCCAAAGCTCGTCGGACGAATGATCTGGACAGGCAAGCCTGAAAGTCTAGGCAGACCCATGGCCTAGCCTTGGCCAACACTGTAGTGGTGCAATTGGGATTCTGCTGCAATTGGGAGAACCGCCCACTATTCCCCGTTTGCCACATGGTCGTCAAGCTCGTTTCGAACAACCTTCTAGGGATCCTGAGTCAGGGTCATTTACATGCTCCTATTTGTATCTCCCAGGAGAAAGCAGCAAGTTTGTTGGTGGGCGTGTCTCGGTGTCGAGTGTTTTATGAGGGCACCCTTTTCTGGTTTCTTTCAAGGCAAACCAGAATGAGAACCACAGTTTTGGGGGTCGACAGGCACGCAGCCAAGTGGAACTTTGGCAGGAACCTGTCGCGGCCAGCATGTCATGTTATTCTGCTTGAAGTGTTTCTAGCACAAGGGAGCAGGGTCATTGTTTGACTGGTCGCTTGCAGTCTAAGCCTGGAAAACCGACTGCTTTGATGCAGTCAGCTGCGCTCTCTGGTAGCAATTTTGAGAAGGGATCTGTACGCCCTTGAGTACTTCCCACTTCTGAGGCAAAGGCTTCTTCGGCAAGATCGGCGATGTGTTTGGCCACATCTTCCGGTGAGATCGGGTCGCGTCCTTCACGCCTGGCATTGCACGGCATGTGTTGACATACACAGCCTGAATTCCTCGTAGCTTTCCATTGGCCAAAATGGCCTGAATCCTTAGCTGGTAAGTGCCACTTGCATTGCAAGCAACAAGTCAAGCATTGATATATTGACAGCTTTGTGATCACCGTTGATCTGCTGCCAGTGTCAGCTGAATTCCTGGGCATGTTTGCATATACAGTGGCTGGTTCGAAACTTGCTGATCTGAAGCATGCATCTGAGCTTGTCGAGGGAGTAAGTATCGATACAAACGTGTATATATATATATACATATGCATATTCAGCATAGGTTGATTTAAACTCGGGTTTAGACGATGTGCGATATGATGCACACTAGATATATACATATACATATGCTGTGTTACCAACATGCACTAGATGATAGTAGTTGTTATATTATTAGAAAAAGAAATACGGTATGTTGTACAAATGTCATTATATTGAAATTAGCATAAATTAGTAGTACATTATACATCAGGTATTATGAGAAGTAAGTACTAAACAGAGTATGGATTATTATAATTAGTTTCAGATCTGTTTGCGTTAAAGCATGGGTTATCAATTTAGATAACCAATTACGATCCCTAGATATCATCCATCAAAATTAATTACAAATGCCATGATTTCAACAAACTTGAATTGTGGTTGGCACTAGTATGTATTTGTATGCTGTTTGCTCAGGCAAGGTATTACTTCTGTATAAAGCTAGCATATTAAGCAATTACTAATTTGCGTAATATTAAGTGCTCCACGTAAACACATGTATGATACATGTCAGCAAATATTCGGGTAGACTATCACACACTTGCAGTCATGTTTAACACGTGTAAGTAATTCTATGTGGTTTTGATACACATTTGGCATAGTCGGATTTCAATTGTTAGCTGTGCACGTTCGGTAGCATAAGCATGTGCAACAATCGTTCAATATACATATACATAAGCATGTTAATATGTGTATATATATATACAATGTTGCTGGTTTGGGCTTTATCTTGGAACGGGACGAGTCAATCTCTGTGCTACAAGTGTCACTGGGTTGTGCTGACCTTCTGATTTTGCTTTTTGGCAACCATTTTTGGTTGTGGCCCCAAAAGGTGAACCTTTTTGTTATGGGTCCTTTGGGCAAGTGAGTCATACTACGATATGATTGTGTATGTTAAACTTGGTGATACCAGCCGTTTCAGATGTATGAACTAGGATATTTGACGATGTGGCTTTATCAAATTTCATGGATGATATCCCCAAACGGTAAGTTTTATAGGGCAAATCACGTTCTGAACCATTCGTCATTCACAGATACATTTGGCTTAGACCAACCCATGTGGGCGTTGCTTCTGGATCCATTAAGATACTCCAATGGCCTATGTCTATGTTTTCTGACCAGTTGATTTCAGATCAAGCAGAGTCAGCCGCATATCTTCCACTCCGATCCGCCCATGGCGATGTTGTGTCTTCCGATCCACCTGGCCCTCGTGATGCTTGCCGCAGAGCCGCCCGAGGAAGCTTTCGACGCGAGAAGTACATCAAGGACCGTGACGTATGGATGTGTCTTTTCTTAGGACCCCCGCCAAAAAAAAGAAGAAGTGTCTTTTCTTAGGACCCCCCCACATGGCTGTGTTCCTTCTGGTTTTCCAGAAAGGGGTACCCTCAACAAAGAATACCCCCGGTATGGAGTCACAGAGGTCCGAGCCAATCGGGCGTCGTGTTCGCCTCAGTGGTGCATGCCTCCTACATTTCTAGAAGCTTCTTGTGGTTGTTTCGTTTTCTTTGACCACAAAATGGCGCAACGTGTTTCCTTTTGGTTTCCTTTTGAAGCTCTGTTTGAATTTGTTTTATGATTGCTTTAATCATTTATCGCTCCATCCGACTATCTCCGACTCTTGGGTTTTATCAGTACACTGAAGTCAACATAATTTTCGCATCCAGCCCACCCCACGCCATATGACACCAATATTCGCAACAAGTACACCGCCAACACATGCCGTTCAAGTTTCTCAGTGTGCAGCCAATGAATCAATTGGGTTTCCTCTTCCAGGTCTTCTCATTTCAACCCCCGCCTGGCATCTGGCCTTCTCATGGAAGGACTATAGGGGGTTGACAAGAACTCGAAGCCCTGAAGATCAAAAAACATAGGTTCTTTGTCCCCTGAAACTGGGCGAGGGTCCTGGAAGTCTTGTTCAGTACGCAAGTTTTTTACTTGCTACCACTCACCAGAGAAAGGAGCAAATTGTAGGCTTCGCCAGGGAGTCTATGCTGCTGTACCTGAAGCCCACAAAATACATCTTTAGGATGTGCTTGGCCATCTGCAAAGACACATTCCACAGGATTTACGGGGTTGTTACGTTAACACCCTGCCAAAACCATCTGCCTGGCATATTGCAACCTCGCCGCGTTCCATGGCGTCAGTTTGGCGAAACATATTCGAAACATCAGGCAGGCCTGCCGCTTGTGGCAGAGCAGCACAAGGCTTGGAAGCTGGGAAACGAAGATGGGGCAGCATGGCATGTGGCTTTTTAGATGCAGCGCCCTACACCAAAAAAATGCAGGGATGCAACATGGGTGTGGCTCAGAAATCAGGGCCCACAATAAAACCCTGGTAAGTGGAAAAGTAGAGCAACGCCAGTCCCCTAGCTCTTAAGTTTTAGCCACACCCACATTGCCCGAACCGAGCCTTTGGGTCACGGGATTGATTGCACGGTCCGGTGGCCAAATCCACGGTTCCCTCGGCCAAGATATGCAGATTTCGAATCGATCCCCAGAAGGTCCTTCATCGTTAGGTGACACTCACTTCCTGAGTTCCTGGACTTTAAACTTTTTAGGAAGACCATTTTGGTCATAAATAGAAAGTTCTGACTATTGGTGGCCAATCCACTCGGGAAGTGATGACATGTAGCTCCCCCCGGCCAGACCTGCATTCTTATCCGATCGGGCGCAGGATTTTGGCAAGAGCTACAAGGATGCGGCTGAGAAAGCGGCTCGGTTCAAAGGTGGGTTGCAATGGGTAGTGGTTGATAGGTTATTAACTGATAGGGGTTTGTGCCGGTGGTATGCAGTTGCTGCCGCAGCAGTTTCGCAGGTTCTTGGGCGTGCTTTTCTTGCTCCAATGTGGAGTTGGCATTTCGATTGATTCGCCAGGCAGTCTTGCATGCGTAGCATTTTGGTGGTGCTTTCATATATTTGCAATTGTGCGGCGGCTCGGTGCTGCGTGAAGTTGTCAACTGAAATTGAAGTGCGTTGGTGTTTTGCAAGCCAGTGGTTGCTTGCGCAGTCGAACTGCTCCGTCAAGGTGACTTTTGAGCTTTTGAAGCGTGTTGGTGCGCTGGTGCCAGTGTGGTTTGCAATCCTTCAAGGTGAAGTGCGTCTGTGCGCCGATGATAGTGTGTTAGTTTTGCAATCCCGGGTCGTGGCAGTCGAACTGCTGCGTCAATCAGCTTTTTGGCGGGAGATTTGAGCTAGCGCCTTGCATGTTTTTTTGTTCCAACTCCTTGAGCCAAAAAGCGCTTCAGAACCGTACGTGTTCCCGCTTTGGCGCTTTTCACTGCGGTTGAGTCCTTCACATCTGCGAACAACAGCAATCCCATGGCTGCGCTGCGTTCAATTTCAAGGTGACCTTTGACGGGTTCCCGCGCGCTAGTGCCATGGAGAATGGGAAAAAGATGTCTCAGACCAAGTTGTCAGTCAACGAGGGTTGACAGGGGCTGACAAGAGAAAAAGATAGCGCAAAAGGGCTGCCAAGGGCAAAGGTACCAGGAACATGAGATGTGAACAGAGCAAGTCGTCAAGGGAAAGCGAGGCCAAGAGACATCGATGTCAAGAAAGGAGCTTGCAAAGAGAAAGAGTTGTCAAGGGAAAGAGATGTCATGCGGACTACGTGTCAAGATGCAGAGACGCCAAGAAAAGGGTTTTCAGATGTCAGGATTGGCAAAGGGAAAGCGTGGGCAAGAGAAAAAGATGTCCACAGTCAAGAGAAAGCAAGAGCTCTCGAAATAGATCGCAAGAGACGCCAAACGTGTCTGGAGGAGAGATGCCAAGCGCTTAGCAGGTGTCAGGAGCTGTCAAAGGGCTGTTTTTTTTTGAGAGAAACGCTGCGGTCTGGTGAAAACAAGCGCAGATGAGAAGCCAAAAGTTATCCAAAGTTTTTGAGATTCGCTGCGGTCTGGTGAAAACAAGCGCAGATGAGAAGCCAAAAGTTTTTGAGATTCGCTGCGGTCTGGTGAAAACAAGCGCAGATGAGAAGCCAAAAGGCAGGGAGGTTTCTAGAGCGACGCTGCCAGAACTTGGGAAAGCAAGCAGAGCAACCTCCTAAAGGCAACCGTCATGTTTTTTGGCGCATGGAAGCGGGACGTACTGTTTGACCCATACCAGGCGCTGTTAAGATATATAGTTGACATCCGTGCTGAGGTATGCTCTTTTGTTTGGAAGTTTGGCTTCTCATTTGTTGTGTTGCGGCAGGCATTTGGCACACGAGAAGGACTGACATTTAGTGTGCGATACCGGGTAACAGTGTGAGATGCAGCGAACCTTCAATTCAGTTGGCAGAGGTGCAGGAGAAGGAAGATGACACACAAAGCCAGATCAAATCCAGAGAACCTTTCTGCGACAGCAAGCTCAGTTCACCCTTGTGCTTGTGAAACATGACTGAAAACTGCAACAACACGTTCGTTTTGGGCACACTCAGACGACATGGACCAAGTTCGTTTGATGCTTTGACGAATGAAACTTGCGCCGGGTTATCTTCATCATGTGATTCACGCAGGGAGTCAATCCACAATCCAGGCGGCGACATGGGTGCGGCCTTCGATTACGAAGAGCCGGCCTCCGTTTGCACAAGCAGAGCTACCCCTATACCGCCGAAGATGGTAGCTGCAAGGCTTTTAGCTGTACCGTTGATCCCTGATCACGATGTCACCGGCTATGTGGATGCTCAGGCGGATGATGAACAAGCCTTGATGGATGCAGTTTCTCAGCAGCCAGTGTCTGTGGCAATTGAAGCAGACAGGGGAGCCTTCCAGAACTGGTGTTCATAGTTGGTGGAAAGCAGGTGAGGTCTGTGGGGGCAAAGTTTCTGTTGGCGATCCAAAACGATAATGTAACATTTAGATAATTTGATCATGTTCAAGTTTTTTCAACATCAGCATGCTATTGCCGTTTTGCTTAACTCCTTTACGGCAACTCGGAAGCACCAAACTCCCTCTGGGCTCCCAGGATTTGTGGAACCAAGTTGGATCATGGCGTGTGGTGGGCTATGGCTCTCAGTGGGGCAAGGACTGGCTGGTGAAAAACCGCTGGGGAACTTTCGGCGGGGACGGATATCTTCCATTTGCTGAAATGAATATGTTTTATGTTCCCCTGTTTTTTTGGGCATCTATCACTACTGGCAATATATTTTCCAGGGTCTTAACCAAATGGAAGATATGTGAAGCTGGAACGTGGCGGGGATCTTGAATACAGTGCCTCATCCGCTGGTTTCATGACTCACCTGGACCATGGCGGCTTGTAAGAGGCCTTTAAGAGGCAAATCTAGACATGGGCCAGGTGAGTCATTACTAGAGAATATGATTCAGTCTCATTATCATTTTGGTGTGATCCCCATGCTGCTTGCGCGGTTAGCCTATGCCATATCCTAAGCTTCAGTGACACGGCAAAAAATGGCTGGTGCAAACTTTGTCGCCTACTTAGCCCCAATAGATACAACATATAAGTTGTATGTAAACGTGTATACATATATGTCCACTATACTGGCAGCCGGGATGCTAACGCCATCTATCCCCAACAAAGGATTGGCAAACCATCCTATCAGCCTTGCAGGCAAACCCGGCGCCGGTGAGTGCGGGATCAAGTCAGAGGCCTCTTATCCCACCGTCTCCAGCGCGCCTTCTCCACCCTCACCTTCGCCGCCCTCGCCCTCCAAAGGACACTATGGCACACCGCCGTGTCAGGAGCATGAGTCGCCTTTCGAGGCACTGTTGCACAGCTCTCAGCGGTTTGGTGCTGTGTGTTGGGGGGGGAATCAATGTCTTTTTCGGATTGAACGAGTTAAGCGCACAAAAGACCGGACATGAATCATTGGGCCCCGTTTTGCACTGCTGCAGGTGGTCGGCAAAGGCCAGGTGTGCACTCCAAGTTGTGAGAATGGATGCCCGAGCGATGTGCCTGCGGGAACTGCCGCCCGACCGCGCTGCGCGGACGATGCTACTGCGTCTTGAGCTGTTTCTTTTCCGGATGCCCAGCTGGTGCCAAGTGCGTTCACAACGCAGGGCTTTTCGCTATGGGGATGTGCCTTTATCCTGGTCAGGAGTCTGACGAGCTGACTGACATTGCTATTTGAAGAGATGAGGTTGGAGTTTTAATCTGGCACGCTTTCCACCGTAAATCAGCACTAGTTGTCTTAGGTTGTTTTTTTTGAATATCATCAAGTCATCAAATATCACGGAGGTTTTGGCACGGTGAAGACATCTCGACTTACAAAGAGTCTGGCGATGAGCAGTGCTGATTGAGCCTGCCGATCACGTTCCGGAACCAGCCCACGCCATAGTGTGGGATACAAGGTCCAGAATGTCTGAAACATTTATATAATAGGACTCGAAATGCGCGTTACATATGGTGTTCAATGGGTTGAAAAGAATATCCTATGGGATATGTTTTATAGCAAGTATAATTGGTTTGTGGCGAAAATAGAGAAGGTTTTTCCACCTTGAAAGGTGGGGATATTGATGAAGACTGGCAAGCATGATTCAATATGTAGTTAAGAAAGTATTTGTTGATTTGCATATTATGTGCATTGAAACTATGAATTGTTATATTATTGAATGACTGCGGTTGTATTCGGCGCGACATCACTTAGCTCACAATCTCCAAATCCTTTCAAGAACCCTGAAAACCGACGGGGCCTACCCAAGACCGATGCCGTTGAAGTCATGGCAGAGTGGACCGTGGAAGAGCGCGTCAAACTTGGGCTGGTAAGTTTTGGTCAGAGCCTGTGACAGACAGATGTGATAGACAGATCTGGCAGCTGTGATAGAGTCTTTTACAGACAGATGCAACAAACAGATCTGACAGACAGCTGTGACAGAGCCTGTGCTAGACAGATGTGACAACCAGCTCTGACAGAGCTTGTCCCACACGGCTGTGTGACAGAGCTTGTCACAGCGTGCAGGCTCGCGCAAAGCGCGCGTGTGTCTGCTATAGTTGCCAGGTCTGCGACAAGAGGCTTGTAGTAAGACATTTTGCACAGATTGCTCGTGACTTGCGCGGCACGCTGTGGCCGTTCAGCACCTACGGGGGGTGATGTGAGACAGCCCCTCAAACAACACCGTTTCGGGAAACCAAGCACCCCCCGACCGATGCCCCCAACCGATGCCCCTCCACATGTGTGACCGATGCCTCTTGGAGTGCCGTGTGACCGTTGCTGCAGCAAAAGACCGCTGCAAGCTGAGGGGAAACCGTAGTTGCATGAGGGCGTTGCAAGTAATGTTCGTCAACAATTGCCTGAGTCTACGCAGAAGGGCAGAGGTATTAGCTGATGGCTGCGCCGAAGTGCTTCGAAGTGCTGCAATAACTTGCGAGCGCAGCAGAGCATTGCAACTCATGTGCGCCAAAAGTTGCCAGTCTACGCGGCTGGCTTGCGCCTGATAGCCGAGGGGGCGAGGTAGAGCTAGCGTTCAAATGCCACTATCACTCTCTCTCTCTCTCCTTCTCTTTCTCTTTCTCTTGCTCCATCTCTCTCTCAGCGCCCTCCGGGCGGCAATCAACATCAAGATGCAAGGTCCCAACGTTAAATACCAACACCAGTGCTATGTTTGAGCTCTTTCGCCGCCATCCCAGTTAATTCCGACGGCCATATAAACAAAGGCTGTTTCTATAAAGTTCTTTCTTTTTTAAGGCCTTTTGAAGTTGCGCTACACAGCAGGTTTGAACATCTGCAGGTACGGAAATAGTTGACAATTTCCGGACTTCACGTTTGCGCCGGTTCTTCCATCCAACTGCCGGCCAATGGAATGGGGTAGAAAGACCCATTCTAAACAGTGTGGATCCCGTGCTCAGCTGGGTGGGGTCACACCCTCCCCCCTCCAAATACATTATATTGCAGCCTCAATAGGTCTTAGTTGCCGGATGACTTTCAACATGAATATAGTAGCTGGTGATGTGGCCGAAGTTACCAGAAATATTAGTGCGCATTTCTCCTTCATCCTCTCCTCCATTCCCTCCCCCTTCCCCCCTTGAGTTGCTCTGCTCAAATCCCCTTTCTTGTGCCTTGTTTGCGCCGTATCTGCGATATACTTGTGCGTCAATTGTCCCACTCTCAGCGATCCTTCCTTTCTCCTCCCCTAAATTCGCGCCTCTTGGCTTTCCCCTGCCCTCTCCCTTCACTTGCTTCCTTCCTCAGCTTAAGTGGTTGTTTCCTGCCGCGTCCGTGTTTATGGTGGCCAGCAGTTGCCGCACGTCTGCGGCGGCAGGCCTGGGGTCAGTTCACCGGTTGGACCGCTTGGGCGGCTGAAGCCAACTGGTCCAACTGTGTCAACTGGTTCAACTGGATCTGCCTGTCAACCTAACACTGTGATGCCGCGAAATATGTACTCAAGCTTTCGAAAGTGCTGCGCCTGCCAAGAAATCTGTGCTTGACCTTGCGAAAGTGTTGCGCCTGCCGCGAAATCTGCACTCAAGCGTTCGCAAGTGCCGAGCCTGCCACGAAATCTGTGCTCGACCTTGCGAAAGTGCTGCGCCTGCCACGATATCTGTGTTTGACCTTGAGAAAGCGCTGCGCTTGCCACGAAATCTAACTCGACCTCCTTGCCACGAAATCTGCGCTTGACCTTGCAAAAGTGCTGCGCCTGCCACGAAATATGCACCTCAGAGTGCAAAAATCAGGCGCCTGCTTCAATGCGCGGGTCCACTCCAACACGATTCATGAATCGCGCGACTCAGCTTCCCAAAGCGCTGCGCCTGTCACGAATTCTGATGCCCATGAGAACAAACGCCTTGCCTGCCATGAAATCTGCACCTCAGGTTGCCAAAGCGCTGCGCTTGCCACGCAATTCAATCCTTGCTTTTCGTCATCACGAAAGAATGTCTGGGGCTTCGGCGTGGCGGCGTGGCAATTCTCCTGGAGCAACTCGGCAGGCGAAGGCCAAAGCCGATCAGCAACTCAAAGTGAAGCTGTCAAGATGGTTCTCAGGCTTGGACCAGGCTGGTGTCTTGCGTCGTTTTTGGGAATAGCTATGTTCCTCCACACCAAGTTTGATAGTTATGATTGATGTCACATTTCTACAATAGTGTGTCTATATTTATATATACAGATATGCACATGTTGGCGTGGGTCGCACGTAATTGGGAATTCGAACTTGAACATTTCTCCCAACGTTTGATTCCTTTATGTTTCCATCCCTCCGAAAGGTTCCTTGCCGTATGAGTGCCAGATGCACCTTGGGTGACCGCGGGAAATTGTCTGAAAACCAGTGCGATTTGCCCCAAGACTTGTGATGTTCCGACTTTCTCAAGGTTCGTGTTGAAAATTTCCCCCCTGAACGTATATTGTTTTACGTGCTTCAACAGGCAACCCAAATCTAGAACACAATTTTTGTGGTCTGATTGATGCCCATGACTTAGGAGTCAGAGGCTTCAATTGTTGCGAACGACTAAGGCGCGGCCTAGCTGGAAGGTCGCCCGTGACCCTGGACCCCATGACGGTGTCAGTTTGCTGTTTTGTTGAAGAACATCGAAGTATTTAGCCTTTCCATATCTGACTTTTGGACTCATTTGATTGAATTCCAAACTGAACTACATCAAGCGCAGCTGTGGCACCCAAGCCCTTTGGGCCCATTTGCAGTCTCAGTATGTTGCCAAATGCAAATTGCCTGTTCGTCGCTGTTCTTGTGGTGGCTGCAACTGCTACCCGGATCGCGGTTGAATCGAAGTTGGAGCAATCGAAGTTGGAGCACCCGCAACTTGATCTACCTTCGTCAGCCCAGGCGTGGACGGCTTTTTGTTTTCTCCAAAAACCGGGAGGTCAGTTGTAGTGATTCATGTGAGCGGAACACCTCCGAGAAAACCCATCGCCCCAGGTCGCCGGCCGCGTCACCACAGATGGCCTTGTGAAATGGAGTAGCACCGGAGCTGTGTCCTACAAGAAGGCCAAGTTTTTGTACGTGACGGCGGTCTCAGATCACAACATCCACTTCCAAGAGAAGCCCAAGAGTGGGGCCCTTCACCGCCACACCACCTTTGTTGGCTGGAACAATCTTCTCACCGGGACGGTGACAAGATATCTGTTTGTGACGGACTACGATGAGGAAAGGGAGATCCTTTCTTGGTGCAAGACCTCCACAGAGCCGCGTGACAAGGGCTACATCGACCCTTTTGTGGAGGTTGAGGAGAAATTCAGAACCTGGACGCTGGTGTTTCAAGCATTTTATTGTTTGTGTGTTCTTGTTTCTTATTTGGGATATGTTGGGATGATCGCGGCTTCAAAAGTTGAACCTCCCAGGATTGGAATCTGCGTTGGGACCAGTTTGGTCATGGAAACTGCCCAAAAAGCTCACCTCATACGGGACCCAGCTGCTGGCCGATATGTATACAGAGGTGGATGGTAAAGACACCATCAATGCAACTGTGGTCTCGACTCGTGACCGTCGGAACAGTACCTACACCGCGGAGTACAGTCTTCATGCCCAGTCAGCACTGTCAGACCATGACAGTTTGATCTACAAATATTTGGATCATAGCTGTGAGACAGTGTCCGATTTTCGGAATGTGCCAGAAATTTGTGTTGATGAATTGTTGGCAGTGGAATACGAATGTGGATATGCCGAATTGCAATTGCAATGATTCCGGTACTGCAAGTTGTAAAGACAAGAGTCTGCGGAATAGGAAAATTATTGGGACGCAAATTGCTAAAATGTTATGCTGGCACGTGTTTTCTGGTTTTGTTAACGATTTCTTGAAATCTAATATGTCATGCGATTTTGGATTTATGTTTAAAAAGATAGAAAGCTATATGGTTTTTTTTTGAATTTTTAGATTGTTATTTAATAGTTATTTGTTGTTGGTTAGGAATTATATTGATTGGATATTAGGTAAGATATAGTTCGGGTTCATTATATATATATATATATATTATTTTAGGATGTTATTGATGATTATGAATCGTATTTAGTTGGATATTAGGTAATATATAATTTGAGATAATGGTAGAGCGACCCCGGTTCGATTGTTAATGGGTGTGGTTGGGTTTTTTAGCATTGAATTGATTTTTTTAGAATTGTTATTTGGTTTTGGGCGAATTGATTTTTAGGATTGTATTGGTTCGGGCCGCACAAGTTTTCGGGTTTTATAGGATTTTTACCTTATTAGGCATTAATATCACTATTGAAAGTTATTTTATTTATTTTTCTGTAATTATTATTTATTTATTTTTTTATATTAAAATTTATTAATTTTAATTTTATATAATATGATTTTTACATATATTATATATTTTAGACTTGCTTTAGATTTTGTTTAGGCCATAATTCTGCTGCGAGTTGATATGGGATATGAAATGAATTTTAGGCTTATATTAAAAATCTAAAGTAGATGTTTAGAGTGTGGGCTTGGTTGTGTGGGCTGGGACGGCGTTTCCCCCGAATTTGATTTTAATTTTGATAGGGACTCTAAACAGGATGGTATATCCGGAAAAATCCGGAAAAAAATCCTAATGCGCCGGCTCGGGGTGCTTAGAATGTTAAGTAGGCCTAAGTCTTTTTTTTGGATGTGCTTGATTTGCGTTTTTTTTTTCTAAAGCGTTTGAATTGGTATGAATTAGGTTTGAAACTAGTCTGGAACATCGAAAACGATCTTCCTAACTCCTGTTGCTCGCCTGCCTTGAAAAGGTTTAAAGCGTGGTAAGAGCCAAATTCTATTAAGATCCCCGAACAATTGTAACAATTTCCGGGGATATGAAGGAGGAGTTTTAAGGACTTCTTTCAAGGAAAGGAAGACAAGACATGATAGGATAGGGGTTAGACTAAATCATCTTCCGGGAATTTGACACTTAAGTGTTGGTCGAGAGTGAAGAAAAAAATGATTCAAACAACATAAATGTTTCGAAGGATGTTCCATTTCTCCTGCCTCTTTGGCGCCTGACTGACGGCCGATCCAAAGCAGATGGCCGTAGTTCAGGCCTCGTAGCATAAGATGAGATGACGCTTCTTTCCAAGATTTGATAGAAAGAAGAGCTTTGACCGATTTGGTCTGACCCCTATCCTATTTTATATCCTGCCCTTCCCTTCTTTAGAAATCCTCCTTCTTATCTCCGGAAATTATTTCTAATTTTCCCGGGGGTAGATCCTGATGCTTCCCTGCACGGGGTGTTTTTTTAGAGTCTTCTTGAGGTAGGCGTTGGGGGAATCATTTCCGATGTTTTAGATTGGTTTTAGACTTGGTTTAGATTGGGTTAGATGTTTTTTGGAGTCCCGCAAACCAGGCACATTGCGAATAAGGATTTGGACCTGTTTGTTAACATTATTTTTACCCAAGTCATGGATTTTTTCCGGACTTTACCGGATGTGCTATGTTGTTTGGCAGCGTGTCGTCTTACCTCGCGCTACGAGGCCTGGATGCGCTGCCAGTTAGGCGTTAAGGGGCTAGGGTCGCCGCCAAATCCGAATCTGCATTTTCTGTTAGAGGCTTTTGTAAGTTAAAATCCGGAAAAAGTCCAGAAACCTTGGAGTGCGTCGGTCAGGGCGTTTGGAATATAATAAGTAGGCCCAATTCCTTTTTCTCGATGTGTTTGATTTGCGGGGGCTTTTCTTCCTAAAGCTTTTGAATCGGATCTGAAACTAATCTGCAATATCGGAAACGATTTCCCTAACTCTTGCTGTTTACCTACCTTAAGAAGAATAAGAGCTAAATTCCCCCCCTTCCGCATAGGGTAGTGTTAGGATCCGCGGAAAAATAGAAAAGATAAGGGGGATTTATAAGCTTGGAAAACGCGGTTACTAGACACTTAAAAATGTTGTTGCTTTTAGGAATCTTGTTTCTTATCTTTGGAAATTGTTTCTAATCTTGTCCGGGGGTAGATCCTGATACTTCCCTGCGTAAGGGTTGGGGAGATTATTTCCGATATTGCAGACCTAGTTCGGACCAGTTTAGTTCCCGAGTCGGCGCTCGAAGTTGTTTCTTTGCGAGAGCCTGGATGGGCCGCCAGTCAGGCGCTAAGGGGTTTGTTGCGGGGATCGATGTTTCAAATTGGTTTTAGACTTAGTTTAGACTAGTTTAGACGCTTTTTATTACGAACAAGGATTTGGGCTTGCTTGTTAATGTTGCAACTTCTTTGAGGCGGCGTACTCCAATTTGTTGCCGTTTTTTTTTTCCCCGGATGTATTAGATCTGAATTCGTCCGGAAAAAGTCCGGAAACAATTTGGAGTGCGCCGGCTCGGGGTGGTTAGAATGTTTAAAATTAGGCTTAAGTCAATGTGCCGGATATACGGGGTTCTTTTTCCCAAAGCATTTGAATCGGTTTAAAGCAGGCCTGAAAGTAGTCTGAAATATCGAAAACGATCCCCCTTAACTCCTGTTTCAAAACGTGGTAAGAGCTAAGTTCCTCCTTCCCGCTTTCTTGTACAGGAAAATACTAGGATTCCCGGAAAAAATGAATAATTTCCGGAGGATTCCTAAGGAAGGGAATGATATGGGATAGGTAGGGGTCAAATTAAATCGGTTAAAGCTTCTTTTTTTCCCGGTAAATCTTGGAAAGAGGGGTGGAACCTTAAGCAAAAGAAGCCGGTAATGTATATCCTTGGAAAATTTGGAAGAATTGTTGGGCATGGGAAAGAGAAAGCCAAAGGAAAGGAAGGGCGTGGGATATGGGATTTTCTGGCATGAGGAAAGCTATGTGAATCTTAATCATAAATTTGTGCAATATTGCCGGTTTAAGAAAGATTCGGAGCTTGCATTGGTCGATTCTTAGCATCAAATACTAGTTGTTATGCATAGGTTCGCTTCTCCACGGTTCGGTCCCGGAGTGGTTCGAAACAATTCGATCTTGATAGGGCTTTAATTGTGGTTCTTGACTTGGTTCTATGCTTTGTAATGGGGTATATATGTTTATTTATTGTTTTTAAAGATTTTTTGAATTTATAGAGTTGATGGAATCGGTGGTTTGGTTTTTTAGAAATATAGAAATATATTATTATTATTTTATTTATGATGTTGTATTATGAAATTTGTGTTTGTTTTGTGAATTTATTGTATTTGTTTTAGTTTTAAAATGATATTTATTATGAATGTGTATTTTGTTTTTGATAAAATGTAATATTTATTATACGATTATGATTTGTTTGAGGGATTAAATTGTGTGTTATATATGTTTGTATTGAATAATTGTGGTTAATTATTTTTATTTGTTGGATTATAGATTTCGTTGTATAACCATTATACATTTTGTTATAGATTTAATCTTTGTCCGGGTTTCTTTTTTAATTATAAATTGAATAATTGTAATTAAGTGGTTGCGTTGTATATTGTCTTATGTAATTATTATATATTTTGTTATAGATTCAATTTAGTTTAGGTTAGTGATTTTGTGTTTTTTGCCATTTGCTTTATGTTAGAGAAATGTAATAAATTGGAGTTGTGGAGATATGTTTGACGGGGTGCGTTTTATTTTGCCTTGCTTTGTTTTTTATAGATCTTGTTATATAGCGGGTTTGCGCTATATTATGTTATTAAAATTGATATATATTAAGAATTGTTTTTCGTTATAGATTTGTATATTAAGGGCCGTCGTTATAAATCTTTGTAACAAGATTCGGTGTGCGTTGTATGTTATAGACCCTTAAATATATATATATATGTATAAGTTGTATTTTTATGAAGATGTTATGTTTATAATAAAATTTAGGATTAATTTCGTAAAAATATTGGTTTTATTACGAAAGATACATGGATTTTACGAAAATATGTTGATTGTTACGAAACGTATTTTGGATTATACGAAATTATGTTGATTATGAAATCTAAGTTTTGTATAATTTTTGTGTTGTTATTATGGTGGGTCGTGTGTCGAAACCGTATTAAATTCGTATTGAAATGGTATCGAATTTGAGATGGAATTGATTGATATTTTATGATATTTGATTTTATAAAAATTCTATCTCCCGATTCTGTTTTGTGGTTTATGTCCTCGAACATCTCGATTTGAAGATTTGGGCTAAATTGCCTATTGTATTATAGATTGCTAATCCTTTTGTGGTAGTAGTTGTATATAGATACGAATTTTATAACATAGGAATTTTCAAAAAACAAATATGTATTTTTATGTTTTCTAGATGGATAGAGTGGAATGTAGATAATCGACCCATCAATTATAAAAATGATTATGGGGTTGGTTCCAAAGAGGTAAGTGGTAGAGGTTATTTGAGGTTTTGGGGTGCGAATGGGTATTTAATTCGATAGGTTGAATATAATTTTAGTTTGTGGTATTATAAATATTGTTGAAGTATTTTAATAATAGAAATTGATAGAATTATTTGAGAGTCGTTCGAAAGGTTTTTGTATTGAGTTATATAGGAAAATCATTTTTGGTGATAGTGTTGATTTGTATGAAAGGTTTGCGAAAAAGGTGTTTATATTTTTTTGAATTGACTTTCGGGTTATGAATATATTATTTTATTGTATGTATTTGTTTTGTAAAATATTATTTTTTGGGATTATGGATTTCTAATTTATAATGATTTTTTTATATCGGGTTATTTTGGTATTGAGAAGATTATTGCTCGTATTATTCTAATGTTGAAAAATTGTGATTTTTGAATTGTGATTCCAAAAACATATTTTTTATATGATTCTTGAGATAAATATGTTGAAAACAATTTTTGAAAAGAATTCCGTGAAATTCCATATTGT